ACAATTTTTGAAATTTCTTTCAATTTCTCAATTCCAATATTTGTTAATTTCTGTTTATCAAAAAACGAATCTACAACAAGACCCCAATTTTCTAATTTACTATATATCCGTCTGATACAAGTTGCTTTAAGAGCAGTTATGAATTTTGTTTAGATGTATCATTTTAAGCCTCCTTTCTTCATAGATTTTTATAATTACATCCCTTTTTACCTGATCAGGTTCACCATTCCATAGAAAATTGTACAATGTATTGTTAATTTGTTTAATATATAAGTCATCAGGATTGGGAAGCGACATAAACAAATGATTAAACTGTGATATTAGTAAAGTTTTGGTAACAACTATTTTACCTATTGGTGTAAGTATTCTTGTGTTCCAGACCGATATTAAAGACTTCAGTTTTGCAAGCTTTTTGTCAAAATTCAGTTTGATAATTCTGTGTAGGTCTACATCATATTCTATGCCTAATAGTGTGAAGCGTGTGCTTCTCAATTCTAAGTCAAATTTGTAGTAAAAGTGTTTTTACTGTATTTTTTGCTGCCAATCAATACTACCTGGGTCTTGGAGAAGATTTTTAGTCCAGAAATACTAGCAAAGTAGTTAAAAGCTTTTAATGTTTCATCTTAAGATTTTTTTTGAACCATCTAGAATAACAGACGTGTCATCAGAAAATTGTGATAAGAAGATTTCCTTTTCTCTGATACATTTGGCGCCCAACGAAATATACCCACAAAAGATGGTATAGGTTCTCGTGTGTCTTCGGGGTCGAAGACTTTGTTAAAGGAGGGAGGAATGTAGCGGAACTGGACTGGGTCGATCGTCGGCGACCAGATCGTTCAATTGGTTGAGCGTCCGTCTAGAGTTCGGAAGGACCCGGGTTCGAACCCCGGTCAGGCCGTGCATTTTTCCTCTCCTGATACAGATGCTATTTTTAAAAAAATTATTAATAGAATTTCAGCACATAAAATAAAAACATATGAAGATACCGGATCCCCCTGACGACAGCCCCGTTCTATATTGAAAAAGTTTGATAGATTCCCCTCTATGTTTACTGCTGATTGTGTATTATTCTGAAACAAGTTTTATCCATTTGATAATGTTGGGGCCAAAATTAAAATACTTCAAAGTTTTACTGATAAATTTTCATGATACAGAGTCGAACGTTTCTTCAAAATCAATTAGAGGTAATATAGTCCAGGTATATCATTGTCTTCTGTATACTGCATAACATCATAAATCAAGCGTGTGTTTTCACCTATGTACCTACCAGGAATAAAGTCAGTTTGGGTATTACTGGTTAATTTACTTATATCATTTTTTAATCTCTCAGCTATTGCACCAGATGCTAATTTATAGATATTATTTAGAATTGTTGAAGGTCACCAATTATTAAATTTAATATGAGGTTTATTATCTTTTGGAATGCAAGTTATAATTCCCTATTTTAGTGTTGCTGCAAGTTCTGATATACTATAACTGTAATTTAGTGATCTTAAAATAAATGGTCCTTATTGCTTCCAAAATATTTTTAAAAATTCAACTGTAAAACCATCGGAACCGGGGCTGTTATTGTTGATAAAGGAATATTAATTAAAAACATATATATCGTGGATATTATTATCATGCGAAAAAAGAAGGACTTGAAAATTTGCCATTGATGGCTTATTGTGTAAATGATCGAAAATAACATTGCCTTAAAAATCAGCCTCCTACTAAAAATGAAAATAAGGTTTTATGGTATGATACATACTGGTCAATGAACGCAGGTGAAATGGTTATATTTGTTCTGTTTTTGCCTGGTTACTTCATGTTTAAAGAAACCATACTCAGTAGACGACGGTTTTACGAGTTACTTCCCCTTACCTTTTGAATTCATCAGTGTGACAGGATATTCTATCGCACGCGTGGAGTATTTTTTTAATCCTATGGGTTAACAAAAATATCATTTACTTCTAAAAACATGGGAGACATCATTGAAGGATGGATTGATAATCATATCAAACAGCGCTATATACGGTTGACTCTTTGAAGATAATTAATTATAGTTAAATTAATTACCAAGTTTACGTAAAAAGGGAAGATGAGTGAATACTGTTGTATGATTATTGGGGGTATAATGAATGCAAAAAGGCGACTGTCATTAATAAATGTTCTACGTCTCCTGTCTGTGGAGTTTATTGAAAGGCGCTATGCACGCATTATCGATACTCCAGGAGTTACTCACATTCGCCCCTACACCCCTGGAATATGTAGCTTAGAAGTAAATTTTAAAAGGTTAAGCCTTAGTTAAGGCTTAACTAATAAAAGTTAAAGAGATAATGAATAGATGGTATAAAAAATGTAATGTATAGATAACGTTAAAGAGGGTAAGGTGGGTTAAAAGACCTTAGAGTCTATAGAATAGACCGATATCCTTCAAAAAGTTAAATAATGCCTTAGAGTCCACGGTAGTGAAAAGGGTTTTCATATCCGGGGCTCGAAAGTAATGATCACGAATTTGTCTGAAATCAGAAAATTCTATTTAAAAATGTTCCACTGTGAATGGAATATCAATCTGAGATGTTATCCTTCAAACAAAAATAGGTGCATACAATACTCTACCGCAAAATCATATTATTGACTGGGAGGACTCTGTACAGAGAGAGAGAGAGAGAGAGAGAGGGAAAGGAAGCCCTCTAGATACGCCGCAGAGGACCAGTTCTTAATTGAGATGAGAGGGCAAACAGACTTTGGCATATCTATGACCAGGTATTAAACAAAGTGTATCCTAATCGATTTGTCTGTTTGATTCATCCTTTCGTACACGAAGTGTACACAAGGTTATAGCGTAACCCGATCGAGGGCGATTTGTATTGCTCGTACATGGTTTTTACACATTTATGTATTTATGTACAAACGTTTAATTGGTCATTTGTCTGACGAAGGTGCTAGTGTATATACTGGTCTAGTCATCGAAACGTCACACATAAACACTTAACTGATTGTGTTAAATGAATCTTTCTAAAATCCATACTTACCAATATAAAAAAAAAATGTTGGAAACTAATGGGTGCATTTTTCATGCCTAAAGCATCGAAGGGCCCATTTTAAGGTCATGCTCACGTGGCCCTAAAGGGGTCACATTCCTATTTAAACAAAATCTTACTCTCCTCTCCACATAATGCCCCATACTTAAGTATGATTCAAGTTATTTAGGAAACTAATGTGCAATACCCTTTTCATGATCGTGTCGCTCCGTACATTCAGTACTTATATGCTTAGTAAATAGATAAGGGGTACAGAAAAAGAGGAAGTAATATGCAAGAAAGATGGATCTCTAAAGATAGTTTTAGGTGTGAAAATTTTATGGAACTCGAATATTTATCATGCTTATCCTGTTACTTCAACAGAAAATGCAGTAATCAAAATGTGAAAGTTATATGATAAAAATGAGTAAAAATGCAAGAAAATGAGATCACACATGTGCCATTAAGCAGTGTAGCAAACATTTTGTTTTGTTTTGAGTATTTTGAAATCTGTTTCATGAAATGAAAATAGGATAATTGGCATCCTGAAAATCAGTGAAGAGGCGCTGCATTCACAATTTTGTTCTATTTGAGGAATACACATTGTTTTGATGTGTATTTCATGCCTATTAGTTAATTTATGCTAAAAAATTAACAAAAAGAGTCGTGGGCTGTCATACAACATCTCCTTTTATATTATGAATAACACAGTTTTGATATTCAAATGTTGTAAGGTTTGACAGGTCATAGGTAAAGGACACGGGTATACCACTTCTTAATTTTATTTTATCTAGTAGAATGCTACTATTTACTGTCACAAGGAGGCAAGTATACCAACATAATCTGTCTCCAGGACACATACACACATGCACGCTTACATAACACACACGGAGTCACGTCCTTAAATTACCTTAGCTGTTAACAGGACGTTGAACAAAATAAAACCAAACCAAAACTATTAACTGTCAGCATCAGATTCGTGCTGTCTCCAGGACACATACACACATGTACGCTTACACAACACACATGGAGGCACGCCCTTAAATTACATTAGCTGGTAATAGGACGTTAAACAAAATAAAATCAAACCAAAACCTTTTTTTTTAAAAATCAGCTAGGGCCTTAATCCTTCGTCTCTTTCAAAATTTTCGTATATTTAAGCCTTGAACTGCTTTCAGTTGGCATTCATAGGCAATATGAATGCCAACTGGACAAAGACAAATTCAATGAAGCGCGCTATCGCCCTCATATTGGATTTGCCTTTGTTCAGCTGGAATTCATATTGTCTATGAATGCCAACTGAAACATAAAACAATTCAATTACACTTTTTATTATTATTCAGCATTTAATTAAAATAATGTATGTATCATGTATGCTTGTTCAGTGAATAGAATTGCCATCGCCAGGCGATGGTCAGTAGTATCCAACGAAACAAGTATGACGTCATGATAATGATGACGTCAACAATCAGTCAATGGCATTCATAGCCTATATGAATTCCAACTGAATTTGGTAGGGTTACATAGTGGCAATGCCATTCGATGGTAAATATTTACCAATACCAAGTGACTGTAGTTGAATTAACACATGTGTCAAACACTTGTTACAACAGCGGTATCAGCTAGGTAGTATTTATCTGAATAGCGAATGTCATGACAAAAAAAAATCGGAATCAGACTTTTCGGACCAATTTTACAAAATATGTCACTTTAAAAGTCAAAACCATTAAAATTTTTAAGTATTTGCTTTTCTAATTATTTTGTTCTATTATAAATCAGTCATCAAAATGCGCTTATATAACTGTGTAAGGTCTGTTATTTTATACACGTGCATTTATAACTCAAGATTAGGTAATATATAAAATGTCAAAATGTTCGTTATTTCTTTTCTAAGCTGTCAACGAATTAAGAGAGTTATTAATCGGTGTGGCATAATGACTAATGTAAAATAGGTGTAAAACGTCGTTTGTGACAAGCCATAAGCAAACTGTTTACGCTGTGGTACACGCTCGTCTTGGCATCATGTAAATTGTCTGAATCAATCACAATGGTGAAAACGTGGCGTCTTAAACAGTCTGTGTATGCTAGGCGTGACTGAAGGGGATTCTTTCACCAACAATTGTATTTATTTATAACTTTTAAGGATGACCAGACTTTACCTGATACTAGTGATTGTGTGTATTACTACCGGTAAGTAACTACAAATAGTATATACGATCGTGTGTATACTGTATTGGTATTGCCTTCAGATTTTCACGTTAACTATATTATAAGTATATTTGTACACTTGAAGTATACGTTCACGTTATGTGCATATACATGTAATGTATACGTGTATTTTTGGAGCTCCTAGGAACTTACATTCTTGTTATCCATATTCGACACTAAATAAAGATTCTCGTATTTTGTATAGTGAAATGTACATATGCGTAAACACGTGAAGTACATTTACACATGAATTCGTTTATTTGCAAAGTAGTTGTACACGTGAAGTGCATTAACATTTACACGTGAAGTCCAGACACATGTACATGCACCGTTACAACTGTAAAGAAGATGTAGTTGTGAAATGATTATGCACGTTTGCATGCAAGGTAGAAATTTACGTGAAGTTAACGAACATTTAAAGTAAAGTAGAGTTTATAATATTTGAGAAGATTTAAACGTGCAGAATTTTTAATTTACATTTTAAGTGAAGTATATTTATTCCTGAAGTATACTTACATGTAAAATATATGCAAGTTTATTTACACTAACATCTGAATTATATTTACAAGTTAGGCTGGCATACACGTGAAATCAAAAACATTTTCTTTAATGAATATTTACACAAGAAGCCTATTTGCACTTCAGAATAAATATACACGGGAATGACATTTACATTAGAAGTTCATTAAAATTTGCACTTGAATAAAATAAACATGTAAAGGAGATGTTTATTGTACAACTTAATCTGATGTACACGTGAAGTACTTTTCACATGAATAAATGTATATGGTCACGGCTCCAGTTTGTAACTGAACTGGTCACGGCACCAGTTTGTAACAAGACTGAACTCTGTCACTGTCCAAATCTCACTGTCAACCAGGGTCGATTTAGTTAACTTTGGGTTTCACTTTTTTTTTCCATTTAATGCAAGTTACTCACTCATAAAATAACACAAGAACATTCAATGAAATAACAACATCCCTTTACCATTTTTACCAGAAGACCCCATACAATATCACTTATTTCACAAACTTACTCAACGGTTTGAGTTTGACCTAAAGGGAACAAGTAAGGCAACTCAGTGCTACCATTACTCAGGGTCGAAGCCAGAACTTTGTCCAAATTATAATTGGAAACATTTTTGTTGTTCTAAAGGACATACTTAGTAAACAGTACACTAGTTATTAGAATACTTTTTATGTTTCATACATTCATATCATTTTGGAATAATATTATACAATATCATTATCTTTCATCGCACACATTTCAGCTGTTATGATGTTGTCAAACGTGTCGTCATAATACGGTGCAAAGGGATTATGTTTTTGGTTTCCTCTAGTTTAATACAAGAGATTTTACTTTGAAATGTGACAAAAAGAAAATTAAATGTTTTTTTTCCGCTTATTACTTGATACATTTCACCTCTATTTCAGAATATATCACAAATATCAGTATTTTGCCATATCCGTAAACTACATTTCGTATTCAGTGGAAAACCATTATATATCCTTCCTGGATTTTGAGAACGGATGGATAGAATTACGATAAAACAGTCCAGTTGTTACTGTTGTATCGCAAAATACTTACAAAACAAACCGATTTATTTATTTCTTCCTGGAGCGAACATTACTGTGTATAGTTTCTGTTGGGTTTTTTTGCAGTAGGAACACATTTTTTTCCGTGTTAACAATAAAAAAAATATCATAACCAATTCGTGACAAAAGATCCTCTTGTATTTGACATAACATTAAGATTTGCCTGTATTTGACATAACATTAAGATTTGCTTGTATTTGACATAACATTAAGATTAGCCTGTATTCCTAACTATGGGATTCTGTTGGGCGGAAACATTGTAATTGTATCGCCGTTCCAATTATTGAAGCGATACTGTGCTTTTTTAAGTGCTAGTAAGGTGTTCTACATTTTAATGTCATGTGTATGTTAATCATATTCTGCTTGAGTAATTTTCATTTGGTGCATATAATTTTAATAAACTAATGTTCTCGTTTTTTCCGTAATGTTATATATACCTGTATATTTATACGTATGTAACACATTGTGATGCTATACTGACAGCTGTGATCTATACTGCGACAAACTTATTTGACACATGAAGGTCATGTTTCTTGTCATTAAACACAGTAGAATTATGTCATAACTAAGCTTTTCCCGTTACCTCCCCGGTAAGCTTATAAAGAAAAAGATAAAATTTGATTTGCACAACATACATATGCCAAAACGAAAACAAAAATACAGGTAAAATGCAAGAAAAAAATGGGTAGGTCGGTAGGCAAATAATTTCATTTCAGTTATATGTTTTTATTATCACGTATAAATAGCATGCATTATGTCAAATTTTACAAAGCTTTCTCCAACACACATCATAATGACTAGTTAAAAGTTTCTAGACGTCATGCAGATATTAGAATACAAAACAAATACAGTTGACTTATTAGAAGTATTATTTCTAAAGAGTATCACGTTTCAACATGAGTAATTAACTTTTTAGGGACAGTTAATTCTAATTATGTCATTGTTGATGTATAACATGTAAGATTGAAATGCACACTTTTATATGTATGATGATATGAAGTCCAGCTGCGTGAACATTAATTCCATAAAGGACAGTCGGATGTTCTGGAAAATTTGTTCATAAGCAGCTGTGTATAATACAAAAACCTTGATAAATTATGAAAATATAAGTTTCAATTCTTATATTCACGTTGAAGGTATAAAAAGCATTCTATTTTATGGTGTTTTTTGGGTTGATACGATTTATGATTTCTATTAAACTTTTTTTCATACGGCTAAATAGAAAAATGTGCAGGGACATTTCTGTCAGGCGACAAATGTGAATAGGAAACAATTCAGGAAAATCCGTCAAAACTTGAATTAGATATCACGACATGATTGTTCCCTGATGAGACTAAACCAATGACGGAAAGACCCAGACATTTTTCGGTTGCATTCAAGTGTCAGGATTTTTGATTTTATGCTCAATGTTATATTTGAAATGTATTTGATTAGTAAGAAAAAGAACAATATAAATAGATATATTTTATTTCATTACAAAAATAGAGAGAATACTTTAAGTGTCAACAGAACCATAATTCTATCTCAATATCTATAAAAAACATTAGGACAAAATATGAACAAAGAAAAGATTTACATGGAAACCATTGAACAATCACAAGAAGAATAAAGTCCATATGTCCTGGAAGGGTAAGCGGCTTTTGCTGTATCGATGACACCTGCTATGTAGATCTAGGTTAAATCCAGGTAATGGCACATCACAATGACTATTAAGCTGTCAAGAATAGTGTCAGGCTTCCAGAATGGAAAACAGACATATAATGAATGACTACGAGCTCTGCATGGTAAATTAATTAATTTTGGATGCAAGAAACTGATGAAATGTTTTAGGGTCGGCAGGGAAACCGGGGGACATTTGCTTTTCGCCTAAAAGAAAGTTAAAAGTTTCTAGACGTCATGCAGATATTAGAATACAAAAAAATTACAGTTGACTTATTAGAAGTATTATTTCTAAAGAGTATCACGTTTCAACATGAGTAATTAACTTTTTAGGGACAGTTAATTCTAATTATGTCATTGTTGATGTATAACATGTAAGATTGAAATGCACACTTTTATATGTATGATGATATGAAGTCCAGCTGCGTGAACATTAATTCCATAAAGGACAGTCGGATGTTCTGGAAAATTTGTTCATAAGCAGCTGTGTATAATACAAAAACCTTGATAAATTATGAAAATATAAGTTTCAATTCTTATATTCACGTTGAAGGTATAAAAAGCATTCTATTTTATGGTGTTTTTTGGGTTGATACGATTTATGATTTCTATTAAACTTTTTTTCATACGGCTAAATAGAAAAATGTGCAGGGACATTTCTGTCAGGCGACAAATGTGAATAGGAAACAATTCAGGAAAATCCGTCAAAACTTGAATTAGATATCACGACATGATTGTTCCCTGATGAGACTAAACCAATGACGGAAAGACCCAGACATTTTTCGGTTGCATTCAAGTGTCAGGATTTTTGATTTTATGCTCAATGTTATATTTGAAATGTATTTGATTAGTAAGAAAAAGAACAATATAAATAGATATATTTTATTTCATTACAAAAATAGAGAGAATACTTTAAGTGTCAACAGAACCATAATTCTATCTCAATATCTATAAAAAACATTAGGACAAAATATGAACAAAGAAAAGATTTACATGGAAACCATTGAACAATCACAAGAAGAATAAAGTCCATATGTCCTGGAAGGGTAAGCGGCTTTTGCTGTATCGATGACACCTGCTATGTAGATCTAGGTTAAATCCAGGTAATGGCACGACCTCACAACGGTAACGCTGGGATTGACAGCAAAACCACAAGGGACACTGATGAGCACAATTAAAACATAGACCTTCATATCGCAGAACACATATATGATAATCATTGTTGTTTGACAAATAGTCTTTGTTTATGTAGTGATTGAGCTATGTTAAAAACGGTTTAATTTCCTTTGGTAGCATGGCTCTAATATAGTTCAGACGAGTAATCTGGTGCAACTTTGGTTTTCTAGAGGTACCACGATTCCATCCACATGTACAACATGTACCTATATAATTAAAACACTGGATACTATATCCCTCTAGTACTTTTGCCTATCTTGGGGTTCTTCAGGCGATTTGAATATTATAATTATGACGTCATAATTAAAGTAAACATAATGCGGTCGTCTTTAAATTGCGATTGTCTTAATAATGATTACCGGTACATTGATTGTACTTGCATTAAATGCGTCTATAGAATATACGGAAAAAGAAATGGAGCATGTTAGATATGCTCATATAAAGATATCTTCTAAGAGTAAAGCATCTGATAGTAAATAAATATCAATTACAAAGCACAATGCCTAGTTAATCTGAACTCATCAAACATATGTAGTTTGCAAATTCAAACTCATAAGAGATGTTCGTAATTCTCCGCGTTAAGACCCGCTTTTAGAAATTCATTAATATGTTCTCTTTAAATTTCTTTCAATAATATCTGATGTATTGATTTGATTAGTTATTAAACTAAAAAAGATCATTTGAACACTCATGACATTATTTTGAACTTAAAATGTTTGCAAAGTATCCGGTTTGTTTACTTTTACCTATATTTACACTGCATTTGCCGCTATAAGCCTGACCATAAGAAAATGCGTTCATAGGGCTATGAAAGCGATTGGACCAGCGTCATTTTAAAGTCTCTTCCTGCCTCGATTAACATGGGACAACCAATAGAAGCAAACTGTTTTGCGACATTAGACTTTTCTAGGAATCTCGTTTTCACTGACAACACAGACACTTCAATATCGAAAATGTAAATGAATATCGTTGTTTAAGTAAATAACAGCTAAAAAATAGGATGTAAATATAAGGATGAATCAGCATTTTTCAATATTCATGCCGGTTTAAAACGCAAACCGGTTACAAACACATAAATCCTTAAATAAATATATTTATATAATACCCCGTGGCTGCCTCTACTAGGCCGTGTAATCCTTAAATAAATATATTTATATAATTCCCCGTGGCTGCCTCTACTAGGCCTACAAGAGAGTATGAAATTTCGTTCATGAAACTTGTTCTAAAGAAATTGATGATTTACATAATGTCGTGCATGCCCTAATGGACTCCTTTTGCACGACGACATTACTCGTCAATGTTTTGGCATGCTACTTCTGCTATTATGATCAGTTTGTTTTTATAAACACCACTTCATAAATGAATTATTAAGTCGTTAAGCATACCTAGTGGCGTGATATATTTAAATTTATTAAGATGAAAGCACATTTAATGTGTAAACATTACCTCTGGCCCTGTCGAATACATATAATTATGTAAATATTACCTCTGAGCCAGTCGAACATATGGTCGCCATTTGTTGTATTCTGCACTCGTGACAACTCGTGAATTCGCTTATTTCAGCCCTGCCCCTGGTACGATAAGTAGCAGTCGGGAAGAGCCTTTGCACGGTTATACTTGACATAAATATAAGATATTGGAATGTTAAATATTTTTATACCAAAATACTAATAATATATTATGAAACCTTTTGACTTCAATTTATACCCCAATGTTTACGATAGACTGCAGCGCGGTAACTTAAAGTTAAAATGTAGATTGGTGTAACAAGATGTATTTTTGCCATATTGACAGAAGTTCCGATTATAATTTTGTTTCCAGTGCCCGTTACCTGCGAATATATTACTAAGAATTAAGTATTGTCTAATTTCACACGGAATGACCGATATGATGTTATGTTAATGTTCCAGCCGCTTCGCCCAAAAGAGCTCAAAATATTCTCACAGATGAGGATACCTCTGAATGCTGTAAAAGAGGGAATTGGGATTCATGTCTCTGTGAGGACATGCACAGGGCTGGCATCTGTGTAGAAAAACAATGCTTTGGCTGCAAGGAATGTAAAGTACGTATATACTTTGTAAACGAGTGTTCACCATTTAAGATGTAGTATGTTATTCTAAAACATCACTTTATGTAAGAATGAACATTAAGAGTTTTTTTTCCTTCAATTTCATCACTTGTATGCAAGATGAATACATTTTTTTATATGTTTATTGTAGTGTCGTTAAAGTAAGGTTTTTGTTTAAGTATTTTAGACGATACTTCAAATTCATTTACAGTTGGTGTATAGAGAATTTTTATATAAAACATCCATTCTTCTGGAACCTGTCGTTATACCGCGGATGAATGAAAAAAATAATTATACAAACAAATTTTAATAGTGTCATTTTCTCTAGTAGATCTTCACAATTAGATATTGCTGTCAAAATTACGTAATGCGTAACGAAGAAGAAAAATAATGCAAATTCATCTCGCAGCTAATTCGGGTATCACATACACTTTTACATACATTATTGACAAACTTGTTACGAAAAAAAAGTGATAAGACATGAAAATAATTAGAAATTAACCCACGAATGTTTTAGCAGGTGCGCGCACGTGTAGTAGGAGTATCCAATTCATGCATGTTTATACGACATAATGTTAGCAAAGGAATACATTTGTAGAGTCTGGTTCAATCTTCTTGTTACCAGGTTTTATAAATCAACTCAATAATTGTTCCCATAACTATCGTGCTATATCGAGTTATCATGATAATTAAGCAGATCGTTTTAGATAAGTAGATTAACGAAGATTTTAAAGTAAACTTATTTTGATAAATAGCAACAGTCACTCTATTCAAATATGGACGTGACATTAGGACCATTCAATCTCCGATGAAGGTCTAAACCCGAAATATAGGACCATTTATTTCCTGATCAAGAGCTAAGCCCGAAAGCTTTGACATGGAGGGACTGTTGCTATTTATTTTGTTATCTTTAGAAACTAAGTGATAGACATTTATCACATACCTATGTAATCTTACAATAGTAATAAAACAATTTTCTGTTGATGTTTTCTTTCGGTTTGGATCACACATGTGTGATACAAGATGTTGTATCACCATACTAGCCGGAACTACTTTTTATGGGAATCCCCTTGTCATGACGAACTGAAAAGTTCCCAGAATTTGCAAAAAATATCAAAGTTTATAAAATCTTTGTATCGATCTCTACCAAATACGGAAGGAATGTGATAAAAGCAAGACCACACACTTATGTTTTTCTAACGAATCAGAAAGCACTCATTTATTGCGCGGACGTATATATTCACTCGTGCACTGTGCGCACTCGTATATTCGTCCGCGCAATAAACTCGTACTTTCTGATTCGTTAGAAAAACACAAGTGTGTGGTCTTGCATATTTATCATGATAACTTTATAGCTAGTCGTCATAAATAACTAACTGAGTCTCCTTTTATAATAAAGACGTTATCTTCAAAAGGTTATCTGACCTAGCGAGACAGATATAATACGTCTATTATCAGTTTACTATTCACTTGTCGGATAACTTGATTTTACCGTTTGGTTTGTTTGATTTTAATGCCATTTTAACAGCTATGGTCATTTTAAGGACGTGTCAGGGTTTGGTGGTGGTGGAGGAAATCCGGAGTTACCGGAGAAAAAACACAGACCTGCGTCTAGTACCTGTCGTCTGCCCCACGTCAAACACCTTAACACTCGCGGCCCTACTTGATAATCCGACCGATAACTATATAACACTGTCAGTGATAGCTGCATTACATAATTACACATTCATAAAACTTAAAACTGCATCTGAACTAATGTGCTTTTAAAAGAAATTGTGTGTGTTTCGAATAATGTGTTTCGTTTGCTTATATTTTGCAGGTGAAAATATTTAAGTGAGGATTGAATGGTTACAAGGAAACGCTGTCTGCTTGAATGTTACCGAAACAGTACAAATGGAGATTATGCCAACTTAAAACAGCTCACTATGTATGTAAACCAAAGAATGAATATAATGACTGAGAGGAATGCACACAAATAACAATTGAAAAAAAGGTTATTCTTAGTTATATATGTTGAAGGTAATTAGCATGCACAAGTATCAAAATTGAAATATATAATTTATTTTACATTTATTCAAGGTGATACTTTTTGTATAAATTGTTGAGCATTTCTGCTATTGATACTGATAATATTATTTAACTTTTTCTACGGGAAATAGTGGCATTCTTCTACAATAATTGATGACACTATTCAAATGTTTTATAGGATTTTCTATTATAAAATAATTTCTTTTCCAAAATTAATGTTGAAAATATTGTTATTTTTCTACAAGTAATGTTGATATTATTTTGCAATAAATGTCAATAGCATTCTACAATAAAAAGTATAGTGATATTTTGTTTTACTATTATGAAATAGCGATAATGGTTATACTTTTCTACAATACTTGGTTTACAAAGCTCTACTTTTCATTTGAATTTAATTTTGATTTTCTAATTAAAGAATTCGAAAATTTAAATCTGTCTAGCACGGTGGTGGATGCTGTGCCCGTCCGCTGTCCATAAGTGTGTTCATAAAAAAGGTGCATTGTAGCACAATGTACACTTTTCGATGACGTCATGGTGTTGACTATTTTTTTCATATTTTGCTTGTGTTTGTTTTATTATAATAACATTGGTATTGTAATGTGTAATGTGTTGGGTACCAAATGAATAATTATTACTTCTGATATATCGTGAACTAGGAAAACGAAACGAAAACCTGCCAGTGTCCATCAATATATGCCTGGGAAGATGTATCGTTTACCATAGTGTCCTGCTGATTATCGGCAAATAATCTGCTATTGTTAAGTGTAGCATTAATGTTTCTGGTCAAATTCATTGAAAAGGAACAGAAGTGTACCACAAATTAAATAATAATCATCCAAGTTTTGAAATTCATATGATTAAGGCTTATTGTCCACCCTCCGCTTTGTTTCACAAGTAGTTTAGTCCAATTTGAATTGGTGCAGTCACACATGCGTTTCATTCAAAGAGTAAGTGCTGGAGTCATATAATATTGACTAGAAATGCAAACCTAATAAATCACAGCAATTGTGCTCTCATTTCTTTAAACAAAAATAAAGCACATTGCGAGTAACAGGAATTTACTGTACACGTGAAAGTATTTTGTTCGGATCATGTATCCTCGCACAGGAATTAGTTTGCCATAGGGCACCTAGCTTACTCCAGACCAGACATAATAACACTTTTAATCGTCATTTGTTGAGGTTATTTAACCATTTTATTACAGATTATGTCCGTTTGAATCACAACTACTGGGCATTTAATAATATTGTCAGTTTAATACTTAATTAAGCACCTTTTAAATATTTTTCTGTCATTTTTTCTGCTTTAAATTGTTTTCAAAACTGCGTGAATACAATTACATGTTACTTAATATGTCGACTGAACAATAAAGTATGGCATTACACTAGTAAAATAGATTATTTTTTATGATTGCTTTAAAATCGTTACGCCACGTTTTCGTCCCTATTTATGACCAAAAACTTCCGTTGACACGATAGCTCAGTCGGTTAATGTGACAGCATTACACTTTTTGTTTTTGATCATCTTTTTTTATTTCATCTTTATTATTTTCTTAAAATCCTACAAGGCATGGTTTTCTTTTCAGAATGATTCATCGAGGCTATGATCATGCCAAGAAAACAAAACCAGTTTCCAACTGATAAATGTTATTGATTCCTAATTATTATGTTGCATCTGACGATTCAATGACAATGGTAAGAAAATTAAAAGAATTTTGAAAGTCAGTTGGGAATCACAATCTAAAATGAAGCAGCCAAAGAAAATGAATCAACTACAATTTCAGTGTGTAAGTATTAGGACTGACAGTATAGTTAATAATTAAAATGATAAATGTAAGTATTAGGACTGACAGTAAAGTTAATGATTAAAATGATAAATGTCAAAAAGAAATTAAAGTCAGGACATTAGGACTCCTTATACATCTAATACATATAATTCGGGCCTGGCGCACTGGATACATCAGTATACACAATAACAATTTCAATATCGCCCGTTTCAGACAACCTTATGGTCACGCAATATGAGGTGGCACTTCTCCAAAAGTAATGCTCTTCCATTATAAAATAAATAACCGGCCGTAAATTGACCCTTGCTGACAACAATTGGTAGTCTTTATGCATTTTCCACCTCCGCTTTTGGTTTTAGGGCTCATATTTCAAAAAAAGATTGAATGGAACGCTGGGTGACTTTTGCCGAAAGGGGTTAATAGTACATCCTGTCCGGTCACGTGACCACACGATGTGTAGGTAATGTGCTAGTGTTGGCTGCATATGAAAGTTAAAAACAAAATAAAACAAACATCACCTTGATAAATGAAACCCATGGAGGTTAATATGACGTCAGCGCCCGTCAAGAACTAGGGTTGCAAAAATGCATTTCGCTAGCTTATGATTAATGAAATTTACGTAATTTAATTTCTGTCGGTTTCTATACAAAGCGTTGCTTTTTTTGTTCTTCATCGGTATTAATAATAGACTTTTAATTTCAACCATCCTCCGATAGGATACATTTACTATTTTTCATTTTTATTTCATTTATACTATTGAACGGATGCAATACTCATTAAAAATCTTGAGTGACTAATTTAACAACGTCTTACCCCGTACCTATGTTTTTGAAAACATAACAAGTTCAAAAGCAACAGAAAATAAGAGATAACAAATTGGAAATGAAATAAGCTTTCAATACAATTTGTCAAATTCAATAACAAAAATTTAGTTTGGGGAGATGCATGCCTCCGTTTCGGTCGAAGGGGGAAGGAGGAATCTTTAAAAAGAATTTTATTACATTAAGGATTATTTATAATATCTTTAAAATATTTAAATATTTTAAGAATTAAAAACAAACGTTAGTATTTTTGTTTCATTAAACATTTCTCTAAGTGGCTTCGTGTATTTTGTTTCTGGTTTACATTATACTGTATACCAAGCAATATTCGTCTTGTCGAATTTTCGCCCTTCAACTAAAAAATCCTTTTTCGCCAAATTTTAAATTCGCCCTTCACATTTATTTACTATGTATATTATGTTGTTTACAAATGTTCACTGTAATGATAAGTTTGTCCCAATTACGGAGGAAAATTTCCCCATACACATTATATAAGAGCCAAATAAACAATATTACATAAAAGTTAATAGTGACACTAATGTCAAGCATAAGTACACACGAATCAGCCTAACAGTACTGAAGTGTTATGTTAAGCTAATACACATTTGTCAAAACAGGACGTTAAAATGACCTATTACAACCTTGTAGTAATTATATCTGTCACTCACTAAACAATTACACATTCATGATACATAACAATAACGTTCCTATCCGTCTAATGTTTCAAAAAATTAACATACGAAGACGTGTGTGGTAAGCATTCTATTTGATTTTTTTCTTTTTCTTTTCTAATTTTAATTTTAACATATTAATTTAATTGCACAAATGGGGATAAAGGGTACAGCAAATAAAGACTAAATCATTAACCATTGTCACTATTATGAATTATTTGTTAAACATTTATTGAATTCGACTTAGATTTACATTGCGGGTGTCATCTATGAAGCAGAAGACGCTTACCCTTCCGGGACACTTGTTCTTATCATCCTTGTATCTGTCAATGGTCTCCATATAAATATTTCCTTTGTCCATATCTTGACTTAGTTCTGTCGATTTTGAGTTTTTACGACTGAGGACTTTTAAGCCAAACGTCAACACGTATAGGCACATTGTAATGATGCTTTGTATATTCCTGTTTGTCGTTTGACTTTGTAGATAATTTATGGGACAAGCTGTTAAAGTATGCACCGTGGTTTTTCCTATTTACAATAACCTCCCATTAACTTTTGTTTGGATATTATCTGTAGAAAAAGTTGGGTCAGGTACATCCGTTGACCAGGTAGCTCACTCAGTTAAAGCGAGAGTATTACAATCAGAAGTCCAGGGTTCGAATCTCCGTCTATACCGACTCAATTTTCACACTCTTAACACTACTGTTGATTATATATTGTTTATTTTATCAAAATTATTTTTCGTACTTATTTACAGTATGGCAGTGGTATGAGGTTCCTTTTATAATAATGTGGGATTAATACAAGGGGAATGTTAATCACCATTTCTGTTTTCACTCTTTGTTCATGATTTGATATTTCCTTTGTTAAAACCGATGCAACAGATTAGGGTTTTGGTGAACAAAATGTACATTAACTCATTATATCGATTTCTATTCATGTACACACAGACGATTTGGTTATTTTTTAAGAATCCGCTAAGGGCTTGCAGATTCCTTTGGATAGCCTTTTTGTTTACAAAATGGAAAATAACAATGAACTCAGAGAACCCCCTAGATATTTCAGAAATGGGGATTGTGTTAAAAATAATGAAACCTGGATCTATGACAATAATGAATTGGAAAATTAACACGATTTCATAAATTTGTTCGTGAAATTTTAACTTGATAACATATTTAATTTTATACAGAGGTAGATTGCTGTCCAAAGTCGTACGTTTATGTCGCCTTAGTTTTTAATTTTTCTATATTTTAAGTCTTCATTGCTACATCGCTTCATCTACTGGACACTTACGTTTGTAGTACAATGAATAAGGTATACGAAGATTGGGAATCTTCAAAAGATTTCGATATCGAAAATGGACATCTCTGCAAGAGTGTTCTAAAATGTAAGACGACTGAGTGTGATGCAGTGATGGATTTTTAATTTGGACGGTACCCGTAGAATGTATCATGAATTATAGATTGATTAAATACTGGTTAAAAATAATGGACATACATATTAATATAGCTCATTGCTTTCGGGATCCCGGAACCATTGCCAAAAACTGTAACGAAGTACTGGAAACTATATTTTTCGGCTATGACTATACCTCTGATGAATCATTTCCGAAAAGAAAACCGTAACTTGCGGGACATGTATGAGAGGTGATAAAGATGAACTAAATAAGATATTATCTACAACAGTGTTCGTAGTGTAAAATTAATCAGAGCTTTACACGGATTCGAACCCTGGAATTCAGATTGCTTTACTATCGCTCTCTATCCGACATCCTCGATATCCAGGGGTAACGCTAATTTTCGCTCTCTGCACCTCTGGAATATGTCAAAGCAAAATTGAAGGCCTGCGGCTAGCTATTTGATTGGTGTCAGGTTGAAAACCCTGACCAATTACTAGGTTGATACTTGTCCTTTGAAGATTACAGAGCAGCGACGCCCGACTTAAAACCAGTAAGTTTTACCGTTACGCGACCGCGGTATTATTTTGATGTACATCAAAGGATCAAACTAGTTTTCTCGACTCAGTGAGCGTAACACTGACAGTATAGGTAATAATTAAAGTGATAAATGTAAGTATTAGGACTGACAGTATAGTTAATAATTAAAATGATAAATGTAAGTATTAGGGCTGACTGTATAGTTAATAATTAGAGTGATAAATGAAAGTATTAGGACTGACAGTTTAGTTAATAACTAAAATGATAAATGTAAGTATTATGGCTGACTGTATAGTTAATAATTAAAGTGATAAATGTAAGTATTAGGACTGACAGTATAGTTAATAATTAAAATGATAAATGTCAAAAAGAAATTAAAGTCAGGACATTAGGACTCCTTATACATCTAATACATATAATTCGGGCCTGGCGCACTGGATACATCAGTATACACAATAACAATTTCAATATCACCCGTTTCAGACAACCTTATGGTCACGCAATATGAGGTGACACTTCTCCAAAAGAAATGCTCTTTCTTTATAAATAAATAACCGGCCGCAAATTGACACTTGCTGACAACAATTGGTAGTCTTTATGCATTTTACACCTCCGCTTTTGGTTTTAGTGCTCGTATTTCAAAATAGATTGAATGGAGCGCTGGGTGACTTTTGCCGAAAGGGGTTAATAGTACATCCTGTCCGGTCACGTGACCACTCGATATCCAGGGGTAACGCTAACTTTCGATCTCTGCACCTCTGGAATATGTCAAAGCAAAATTGAAGGCCCGCGGCTAGCTATTTGATTGGTGTCAGGTTGAAACCCTGACCAATTACTAGGTTGATACTTGTCCTTGGAAGATTACAGAGCAGCGACGCCTGACTTCAAAAGTTTTACCGTTACGCGACCGCGATATTATTTTGATGTACATCAAAGGATCAAACTTGTTTTCTCGACTCAGTGAGCGTAACACCTGGAAATCGAGGATGTCTAACCGAGTGAACTATCTGGTCAGTGGACGTATATACACGCGGAGGTTAAGGGGAGGTTAATGGATACAGAAAATACTACAGAGCAGTGAGCAGGGATCATTAATCGGGGATACTGTTATGCAAATTTTATTTTCTCTGAACTTCGGAAATGTATGGACACAGCACTAAACTGAAAAACATAAACCGTTTTTCGTAACTAATAAAGCGACGACTTTTTTTATCCTCAACCAACAGTATCCTGTATAAGAATTTAGTAAAATCACTTTTCCTTGCAGTACTATTTGATAAAATATATGTCTATGAAATATCAATTCTTTTTATCTGAATCACGTTTGTCAGCACGTAACTAGGATGCAATAATTTATTGAGAAAACGATAACAATTGTAACTCAGGTAAAGAAGAAGGGTATCATTTTATTTATATATTTAAAATTGCCATGATTTTAGAGATTCAAGCAAATAAATAGGCCAAACAACACATATGTGTGGTTTTGCTTTTATCACATGACTTAACCCTTGGTAATTAGGAATTTTATCTGATATGACTAAATGCACATTTTATGTATTTCCTCTTTTTGTCGTTTTCCATCGGCACACAGGTCGACGCAATGCCAGGATTTTTTTTATAAGAAACATGTGTTTTATTTAAAAAAATGTTTTTTTATGATAATGTATTTCTTTTATTTTTATTTAATACTTTCTTTGTATAATTTTTTTTTTTTTTTTGATAATTCTGAGATATATTTTTAGCGGTGTCAGTAGAGGGAATTCCCCTAAAAAGTAGTTCCAGCTACTGTGGTGATACAGGATCTTGTATCGCACATGTGGGATACAAGCAGACAGAAAACACACCTGACAAAATGATGTATTACTATCGTAATATTGCATAGGCATGTGATAAAGACTTTTACTCGACAAAAGCTATATATGAATAACATTGCGCAACTTTTACATGTTGACAATATAACAGACCTTCGTAAGCTAGGCATATATGTATATATGAAGCTTTACAGTAGAAGTACGAGACAAAAAAAGGTTATCCATGTACTATACTATGCTGGATGTAGTTATATCAGTTATTAATACATAATTTGCGAATGATACAATTATGAGCATATCATGCAGAATGGAATTATTAAAATAACGTTGAAATACCTCGAAGTGTATATATTATGTTGTCGTTGACAATGTTGTTGTTGTTGATGCTGCTGCTGCTGCTGCTGCTGATGATGATGATGATGAGGAGGAGGAGGAGGATATTAGTGACGACGACCATGGTGTATAACATTATCAAGTAGTTAATATAACTTAATGTCAGGAATGTCAGAAACATGCCTTTACATTAGACTACTGAGTAAAGGTATCATAACGAGACGTCTTAAATATAAATGAAAGAAAGGAAACGTAATTTTGGGTATCAAATTTAATGCAAATCCTGCTATCAATTTCTCGATATAACTTATAACTTTGCGCACGTCAAAACCAATCCGCGCCCTCACACCTATTTGTGCACGAAGAATTCAAGATATGTGCCTTTTTTCGTGACGCATCTGTGGTTTTGGAACAGATGTCAAATTTAATACTTCAGTCATAAAAATTGACAAGAGAATATGTTATTAAAAATTACTTATTAAAAAACATATATTCTGTGATAGGAGGATAATATTAAAAAGTACCTCTAACAAGTATTTTGATATTCTTAGACATTTCACCAGTAAACTGGTTATATCAGACCTTCGTAATTATATATAAAAATATGAGATAACGAAGAACAAAGTCATTCGATGTTATTGTAGCACATATAAACCGGATGATATTGTTTATTTGAGGATTAAATTCAGAGAATGATTGAGTTCCTGTGTGATAATGTCTTTGTTGAGTTTGGTGGCAAGGTTTTCCAGCAGACTGTAAGCTTCCTATGGGAGTAAAGTGTGCCCTTCTTCTGGCCGATATAATTTTTATATATGAGACTGAATTCATTGATGAGCCAATCATGACTGGAAGCAAAAAAAAAAAAAAATATCTAGCAAAGTCATTCAATTTTACATTCAAATATATCGACGATATGCAGTTTTTCAATAACAAAAACCCTGATCGACCACGTCGATCGCATAAACCTTCCAGAGCTTGAAATCAAGGACACTAAAGACGTTTTTTTCTCGATCTGACTTACAACATGACCAACAGGGACAGCCCACTACTGAGCTGTACGATTTCACTGTGTTCTTTCTTGATATCAATGTCCCTACTTCCCCATTTTTTTTTTATAGGTCGCAGTTGATTCGGTATTCAGGAGCTTGCTCCAAGTACTATATCATTCCTGCAATATATGATTTTCCGATCGTAAGCTTTCCTTTTCTTGATAGCAACATCCCTACAATTCCTACTTACTTAAGAGCGTGATCTGAATACCATGATTTCCGTGATAGATTTCGACTGCTGACGGACAAAACTTACAAAACATGGTTTCTAAAGACGATGATGATAAAAAGAGTATAGAAAAGTCTTTTGGTCACTATGATGATCTCTTATGGAAATATTCCATTTTGTTTGTAATATGAAGGTCGATGATTCTGATTATGCTCATGTATGTGTCTTGTCGTCGTCTTAGTTGAAGCAGACGACGCTTATCCTTTTAAAAATCTGGTCTTATTATCCTGTTTCTATTTCAAGGCTTTCCATCAAGGCATGTAAATGTTTTTTAAGTTTATATTGCGTCTTAGTTTTATCGATTTAGAGTTAGCATTATGGCTTTGTTAGTACTTCAGTATCCTCTATTGTTTTTCAATCTCGATTTTGAGACGGCAATCTAGTGTAATGGTCCGGTACTGTGTATGGTTTCCAACAAACATTGGTCAACTGACCATGTTTATTGTTTCGATTCTGTACCAATTTACTTCCGAACTACGTATAGCTTATATTACCTGCTTCTTTTATTTGTATTTCATCCTACTTTTACACAACACTTTATATGTGTTTTTTGTCGTTTTTTCAATCTGTTAAATAAATACTTTTTAAGTTGTGTCGTGCATTGAACAGCAATAAATTATATTTGCATGTGCACCTTTCCAAATATATTCGATCTCTTGAAATTTTCAAAACTGTTCTGACAGTTAAACTACACAAGAGTTACCATGGAATAAGGTCCCCTGTAAAATTAAGAAATGTACCACTGTCCTGATCATTTAGTCCAGCTAAGACATGTAACATCATCTCTACACTCTGGTGAGGGAGGAGAGGCGCCGAGGCCACACCCATGTCAGTACGAACTGACCCTGGGGACAGACTGACAGCCAAGACTCCGTCCTCCCGGAGATCAACGCTCAGGTTTTTAGACACCATGTTCAGAGCGGCCTGTAAATTAAAATGAAATAAAATATTACTTTATCGTATTAACTATAACTTTATACACAATGACCAGAATAAAATAATTTCATATTCAATTTGAAAATACAACGGATCTTTAGACTGGAACCTCGTACCGCCGACAAAAAACGTTTTCTTTCATGACTTAACTTTTTGTTATGTAAGTCATGTTAGTAGGGGTTTTTTCCCCAGAAAAGCTTTATCAAAGCGATAAAGCTTTTCTGGGAAAAATTCCCACCAACATGACTTACATAACAAAAAGTTTCTTATACATGTTTGCATTTTTTTCGGCAGTGGACCGGGGATCCTTAAGTGTAACATTATGTGGTTCGGCAGTGGACCGGGGATCCTTAAGTGTAACATTATGTGTGCTCCTGTCAACCATGTACTCCTCAAAAGAATCACCTACTTAACATCTCATTTGCCAATTCAGGAAGTCAAACAAAGCAACCATTTTACTACACCATAGGTCATTTTCTCCATATTAGTTTTATCTGTGGTATGAAAGGTCATGGAAATCACTGTCAAAGATTTCCAATTTTTGTTCCCCAAAACATGTCTATAAAACCGTAAAACAGGAAAAGGGCCAATAAAAATCTGTCATAAGGTAACAAACTTACAACACATATACATTATTCTCAAACTAGTATTTCGTGTGAATCGTGTCAGGAAAATAATTCCAGTCACAATACTACAGCCAACCTCGAGGAATGTGCACATCATCGCGGCATGGTCAACCACCTCATTATGTAATACAACAATTAGACAAACGAATTAAGGAAATGTACAGAAATATGCTGACAACGTAAACATTTATTTACTGCACGCAATGATAAAAAGTGCTGACAAATGTATGTGATACTGACACCGTAACATCCATTTAGTGCGAAACATTTAAGAGTGCCGATGACTTGAGTTACGCTAAACGTCTTGTTCACCTTGAGGACTCGTGCACTTGCTGATCGTTAATGGGTTGTACGTCTGCGGTTTGCCTGTCTGTACTGTCAGAATCAAGGATTTTAAGGACACTTTAAGGTCTTAGAAATTTGCGAATAGCCCATAACGCTCACATGAATTACATTGATACAGAGTTAATGACTACAACAGTTTTAAAGGAAAAATAAAAATGAAATGCAACTGAAAGGCTAAGGTTGCTATGTTGGATTTTTGGAGGATCAGAACGAAAGGTAAGAACACTTCTTTGATTTTTTTTATAGTTGCTTAACTGCTTTACAACATGTTCAAACTATTCTAGATTCTAAACTCACAGATAGTCGTCGATAAAATGTATAGAATACACATTATGCATAATATATATTTAATATAGCAAAAGAGGCCGACGAGACTTGACGGTAACTTGAGATGTAAAAATATGTAATTTGTTGTTGTACAAAAACAAACAATAAACAAGCTCCTCATGTTATTCCCATTCAATAAGAGGATTTGATTCTAACATCTCTGCCCCGCTCCTAAGACCCCGGGGGTGAGTCAGGTACACATTTTCATATCATCCCACTGCCATCAAAGGATGATAATTCAAATGAAGTTTGAAATTATTTTCCACCGAAAGGAAGCAAAATATACTTAAACGTTGTTAACGGGGGGAGGGGGGTTAACATGTGAGTAACAAAATTCACTATTTTGATAAAGCACATACATATCTTTTCATCACTGAATATAATTTGATTTCAGCAAATCTGGGTCTGGAGAATAGGATTGTTGAAATATTGGCGATTTTTACCCCTTCAGATTGTGAGGGTGAGTCAGTGTTGCTAAGACTTTTCAACCCATAAATGGTATTTTATCCAGCATATCTGGGTCTGAAGAAGAAGATTGTTGATTTTTTTGACAATCTGACTCCTTTTGGTCCCGCCTCTCAGGCCCCTGAGGTTTGGATCCATTTTTATTTTTATTTGTCTTTGACTATTGAACCGTCCTGCAAAATTACATTGAAATTGGTCGGGCGGTTTTTGAGAAGAAGTCAAAAATGTTCATTTTTTTACGCGCCGCCTACGTCGACAACGAACAAATTCGGACGACGACGGATGGAAATAGCTCACATAAAGTTATAAATGATGGGTTATACATTTAGATTTCAACACAGAAAATGATAACGTGTGCTGTAAAATAATGAAAGGTTATAGATATAGCCATTAGCAGAGGAATTGATTTCGTGTGCTGTAAGGTAATGCAATGTAAACATTTAGCCATCAGCAAAGGAATTGATTACGTGTGCTGTAAAACAGAGAAGGTTTATAAATATAGCCATCAGCACAGAAATTGAGTATGTGTATTGTAAGATAATGAAATGTTAAATTATAGCCATCAACACAGAAATTGAGTATGTGTACTGTAAGATAAGTAAAGGGTTAAAAAATATAAATATCAGCACAGAAATTGAGAACGTGTGCTTACACCACAGTATCAATTACCTTTGACGTTTTATACGGATATCGGCCCAATAAATATTCATCATTGGTTTCTATGGACGCCAGTCGACTTGAGATATTCACAACTGCAGACTTCCGCCATGATAATCCAACACCCTCCGTTGTCTTCGCCGCTGTTTTTAAGAACGGGAGAAGTGCCTGAAATATAAATGACCTTTTTAATATAAATAATTAAATCACATATACGATGAGCTTTATAAAATAATCCAGAGTTTTTGCATTTTATTCTGTTAATTTTTTTATTTCTATCTAATAACAAGAAAATGCAGCAAAGCTGCTGGACACCAAATCTTTTTTTATGAAAATGACTTACTGACAGTCCAACAACCTTGAGGGAACGGATCCTTCATACTTGAATTTATTTAATTATAATAATTTCATAAATTGTTTATGGCATTAATTTTGCATTTAGCACTATCGTCACTCAATATTTGTCACACAGCACGCAAATGTACATTTTTAAACGCACGTTTAGATCTCGACGATTAGGTGATAACGTCGTCTTCTGAGAAAGAGAAGTAGCGATTGTTTCAAATATTTCTATTGACAATGTACCTCTGGATAAAATATCAACCGTCTTCTGGGTTAAATCGTCAATCGTAGCCGCCTCCCCCTTGAATAATAGTTATTATTACTTCTCAAGACTGTTACGAAGACACATTTTACCACAACGCTGGATTTTTGGTTGTTATCACAACTTTGTTTTATGCAAGTGAAATGAATCATTCGTATTGAACAGCAAAACCATGATTTTTTTTATTTCTTATTTTTTTTCTCAAGTCACTGCTACATCAGAAAAGCGGGGGAATGTGTAGCGTGTTGTTTGACACCAAGTGCTTATGACGTCCAGTTTGACAACAATAAAGAGCGCCATTTTGAATGGGTTTTACTGCAATTTTGCCGTTTGCTGCTATTACCTGGAAGATTTCCAGACAAAATTTGATATCAATAGTGCAGTTATGTAAAATCAATAATGTATGCTGCATAGGTGGAACACTCAAACACTTAATCTGCCGTCGCTTCATCTAAACTTGAAACTGAAAATCTACGCAAAGAACAGATTGTACCGTTTAGATTGGACCATACTAAGAGTGACGTCTTCACATGTGAAGATAAAATATTTCGTATATCTTCACTGCATTATGATATGTTTTTATCAAATGAAGAATTCATGATATTTCACTAGTAAATGTAATAATTACAGATACCGTAGGGTTTACTATCATTTATTTGAAGACCGTATGCGGTCTTAATTTCCAAGAAGGCTTTCACGCATGGGGAAGCACCGGAAATGAACAAAGTGTTTACAGATCAAACCCGGCGGCGCTTTGCCCATCTCTTTATCTGCGGGATTGTAGCGACAGTTTGAAGCATCTCGCGCGCATGTCAGTGCAGGCTAAACATATTGTGACGACAGTCCTGTCTTTATGCACAAATAGATTGCCGGCAACCAGCATGAAAGTTCTGCAACTTAAATGAAATGGTTAATATAAGATACCAGTTTACTGGTAACGTTTGTCCTCAAGAGGATAGTAAACGGAGTTAATCCCTAGTAAAGGAAGTTAATCGATAAAGGAACAAATCTGTGGTGTAAAAATATAGGAAGGAAATCAATTGGGAACCGTCGGCGTCGGCACTCTCCGTTAACGAGAAAATACGATTTCGTTCACGGACAGTGCCGACGGTTCCCGACTGGGAGGCTATAATTGTGTTACAGTTGTGGCAGGAATGCATGACATATTGGAGTTTGACTTTCGAGATTGGCGAAAGCGGCAGGAACAGGATTATGTTTTGCCCCTTGGATGGCCATAATAAAGAGTGGAGTAAAACCGAAGTGGAAGGATATCCCGCATACACCAGACAACGCAGCTTTATCAAAGAACTTTGTCAACCTTGAGTTCCATCGAGGAGTGTTGCACCGGGTAACGACTGTGGAGGGAAAGCAGCGAAGACAACTTGTCCCTGCCAGTGAATACATACAGCGGGTACTCCAGGAGCTCCACACGGACGTTGGACATCGTGAAAGAGATTGAACCGTCAACCTTATCAGGGATAGGTTCTACTGGCCGAACATGCTTACCCACATAGAAGAGTGGGTTAAGGGTTGTCCGATATGTTTACGGGGAAAAACCCAGTGAACAGAGCTCCCATGGTCAGTATAACATCACGACAACCTATGGAACTGGTATGCATGGACTATTTGACATTGGAGACATCAGTTGGAGGGTACCAGCACATCTTGGTTATCACGGATCATTTCTCCCGATGTGCCAAGGCGTTTCCCACAAAGAACCAAACAGCGAAAACTACTGCTGATGTTCTCTTCAGAAATTACATGGTCCACTACGGATTTTCAAGGAGACATCATTCTGACCAGGGTGTGAATTTCGTAGGCAATGTCTGACTGAGTTATGTGGGATATCAGGGATAGAAAAATCAAGAACGTCCCCATATCATCCAATGGGCAACGGTATGACAGAGCGGTTTAACAGGACGTTATTGGATATGGTAGGCACCATGGAGACTGATAAGAAAAAGGACTGAAAGACCTATGTGGCACCTCTGGTCCATGCATACAATTGCACCAAACATGAGAATACCAGATATACACCATACTTCCTCATGTTTGGGAGGGGCCCACGGTTGCCCATATATGTGGATTTTGACCTAGAAAGAGATGAAGCTAGTGACCGTGTTCCCATGACTAAATATGTGAAGGACCTGAATGAAAAGCCTTAAGTTGTCTTATGAGGCAGCTGTAGCAGCTTCGCGTAAGACACAAAGTCGTCAAAGGGATTCTTTTTACCTAAAACTAGAGGAGTATCCATTGAGAAATGGGATCGAGTACTTGTACGCAAACTAGCATTTGATGGGAAACACAAGATCTCCGATAGGTAGGAGAATGGGAGTTACCAAGTCATCTCGCAGCCACACATGGATATCCCCGTGTTTGTGGTAGAGAGTGAAGCTGATGTTCGTCAGAGGACACTGCATAGGAATCATTTGCTTCTCATAGGATATCTCCCGATACACACACCTAAGGAAAGACCCAAACCCAAACTGAGACCCAGACCAAGAAAAAGACAGACATCTGAGACAGTAGAGGAGACTACCACAGAAGTTGATTAACCATGTTTCTGATTAAACGATGAGGATGAGGAATATAGCAGAGTGAAAGTAATCCCTCCCGTTCAGGATCCTCTCTCAGGGGAGAGGTCTTCAGGGGCGATGGAGGAGATAGGACATGAACCGGTACCGGAACATCAACCCTCACAACAGCCTTGTGGTGACGACCCTGAGGATGTTGTCGAGGAGGAGGAATCTGGGTTAGCTGATGACGGTCAGGCCAGTAATGGGGAAACTAACCTAGATTCCTCGGAAATATTAGACACTCCAGAAGTGGCTGCAAGGCCAAGAAGGAATCGCCAGCCTCCAGAGTGGATAAGATCCAATGAGTATGCCATGGCCCAGCAAATCGTTGAGCCAGAATGGAAGCAGAAGGCAGCATTTCTGGAGAGGTTGATTAGTAGTGGTAGAGTGATTAGTACAACAACATTGGACAGAATTACCAATTGTCTATAAGATGTTCTGTCGAGCAACCCTGGATGAATTTATCATATATGTAATCACTAATGCCTATGTTTTCTATTACAGTATCCAGTTGAATACCGGGACGTCATTCATTCTTGAGGGAGTGTATGTGGCAGGGATAGCCTGTCCAAGTATCATGGAAAGTGTTATTAATTAAACTAGAATGTTTTAAGAAAGGTGGATGAATGAAATAGTATTAGTGGAGTTTAATATGTAATTATGTCTTGTTTGTTCAGGTGTACATGTATTGTGTGTTTAGTATCTAGATTTATTTAGTGTCATTGTCAATGTGTCAGTTGTTCAGTGCCATGTGCTTTTTTATGTTTTGTTCTGTAACCTGTGACCTGTTTGAGACCCGTAACCCCATACTCACATGTTGGTCAGGTGACCTTTCTTACCTGCCCATGCAATTCGCCTGAGTGAAAAACCAGTTCTGGCAGACATGTTGGAGGGGTTGATCATAAAGAAAATGTATGTTTGAGATACTCTTTTTCATGTAATAGCTGACTATAAAACAAATTGTATTAACTCTCCAAATTAGTATGAGATATTTTGAGTAACTATAGTGTACTTTATTGATGTACTTAATTATGTTCAGGCTATATGTTCTGTGAATATTTGGAAATTCGAAATAACTTCTTTCTATTTCTAATTTAACGATAATGTAAATATATCAGACTAAATCAATTATATACTATTATGTAACAGCTTTTGATTGTTCTTGCAAGTACTGTAAAGAGTCATTGGTTATTTGTTCAGATTCGCCTGCGGTTAGTTATTTTTATATACTGGATTATCATGATATTGGAACCCTTGTCACATTGATAGAGTAAGTTCATTACAGATATATATAACATAAATAATGTATATTACAAATGATATGTGTTATTGGCCTTAGTATTGTGTAATATATTAACCAGTTAAATAGGTTATAAAGTCTATTTTGTCCATGAGCATTGTTATATTAAGTCAATGAAATCAGTAACGATATTGTGAAATAAATCATAAGTATGAAATATAATAAATAATAAATGTAATTATATAGATAATGATATGATGCCTTGTAATAGGTACCGTGTAATGTTTTAGTAACAAGGTGGTGTCTACTGTATGTTCTTATACCTGTGTCATTGTGTTCTTGTAGGGTGTTAATTCATCCACCATGTCTGATGTCCAGAATGATCTAGTAAATGAATGGAAACCAGGAACGTGTTTGTTGTCACGCCTCTGCCCCAATCCCATCCCTGTTTCACAGTAACAAGGGGAATTTCAAGGAGGTGAACATAAAAGGCGGTAACTAGTATGAAATAGACTTACTTTTACACTACTACATTTTAATTCATATTATTCATTCAGTTTATGTCTTATCTCTATAGTTATTCTCCCACACTTCACTTGTGTATTCCTGTTTTTGCTTATAGGGGAACGATTGATAAAATCTATTACCTGTAACTGAGCGAGATCGGGTTATCGCAGTCTAAGGCTAAGATTCTGTAACACAAACAACCCCAACCGAGGCGCAAGCCGAGGTTGGAATGTTACATAATCCGAGACTGAGATGACCCGATCTTGCTCAGTAACAGGTGATTGAATTTTTTCTCGCACCTTTGAGTTCGAAAAAAACCTATTCATTTTTGCTAAAGACTACAAGTATCCCGTCTGGGGCTTCAAATGAAAATTGCCTCTACACTACTTCAGTTACATTTGAATGCTTCCGCGTAAAAATGTAGCCCGTCCTTACAAGGACAATGTATTTCACAGTGTAGATTATATTTCATCTTCAACATCAGATTTCTAACAACATCAAAATAATAATTTTAACGACAAAAAAGCATATTTATAATGCAGATTATCAATTTCAAGACGTTAACGCGCGGACGAATACACCGCGAAATGTCAAGTAAAGGTACCAGACAGATCGGATGAGATTGAAAAATCTAGCATGGGGTATGCCATGGGATAACTTCGTCTGAGTTGCGAGATATACCTGCCTTTACCTACTTCGGAGGAAGACGTCTCACACGCACTTTGATTCTGAAATCGCGTCATCACTTCTTGCAGCGTAACCAGGGTGACGTCATCAACTTTGTCATATTTATTGCGCGCTACCCTGGGATCACCATTTTTTTTTACGGAAGGAAAGTGTAGCAGCAAAATATTCAATAATTCCTTTTTGATGTATACAGAGAAATTTCAACCCTCGGAATAGGACTAGTAAAGTTTAACACTCGGCAAAGCATCGTGATAAACTTGAAAAAATAACCTTGGGGTTGAGATTTATCTATATCACACTGGAGTTCTATTGATGACATACTTGTGTAACGAGTAGTGGTGCTACCACGTTTGTCTTGAAAGTTTGCATCATTATGTCCTCTGTCACGTCATAGAGGTCACCTCCAGGTCCTACGCCAGCATTGTTGAGGAGCAGGTTAAGTCCCCGCCCCTGTAAAATGAGGCCCACTTGTTCTTTTACTCTCCCAACGTTTTCTCTGTCGGTCACGTCTGAAAGGATACATTTCATTTTGAATTAATTACATAGCACTCATTACGTCTTTCCATATCTTCTGTAAACCTACATCAGAAGGGAGATAAATTAACAACCAATAATTTCAAAACTTAAATTTATTGAAATTCACATTTACTTATGTCCACTACTTACAATATAACAACATATATTAGTACATGGTAAGGATGAACTAAGAAATAAGTTTGCGTGGTTTTACACTGTACTACCTAGCGAATATAATGAGTAGTTCAGAATCCGTACCCAGAAATGGTAATTTTGCAGCAGTTATCTCCATTGACTACGCCCTTCAGAGATTTCTTAACGCTCCAAACCGGGACTATCAAGGTGACATATTTTTTTCAAAGAATTTGGGTCGTTAAAAACTCAATAAGAAACATGTGTCATGTTTATAAGATTTCTTATACAAACTACTCCATAACGTAATAAACTTTGATAAGCTGTCTTAAAGATTTTGTCTTATATCATGAATAGATATTACTTAAGATAGTTCTATTAGATTTACGTCAAACAAATGTTCTTTTAAATGTTTAATAAATCATATTAGATATCTTCTATATTTGATTTTTTATACGATATATTGTTTATAAGATAGCTGATATATATAATTAAGTATCTTATTTAAAAGGAAAAAAGGTGATAGTTCTTGTATTCAATATTCAGTTCGCAAGAATTGCTATTGGGGATGTTAATTGAAAAATATGATATACATTCAACACAAATATGTTACTTATCAATTCAAAATCAACATTGAATCGTCAATTTTGAATCCATTCTCAATAAGCTTGATACAATAAAAGTTGAATAATTTATATATCAACTCTTGGTCTCATTATTATCAATTGACTTATTCTGAAAAGCTTCGTCTACTCCTGCTTGAGTCATTCCTGATTATATTATTCTCATTGTTGAGTCAATTCTAAATACGTTTGACACACACTCATTGTTGAGTCAATTATAAATACGTTTGACACACACTCATTTTTGAGTCAATTATAAATAAGTTTGACACACACTCATTGTTGAGTCAATTATAAATACGTTAGACATAGACTCATTGTTGAGTCAATTCTAAACACGTTTGACACAAACTCATTATTGAGTCAATTCTAAACACGTTTGACACACACTCATTGTTGAGTCAATTATAAATAAGTTTGACACACACTCATTATTGAGTCAATTATAAATAAGTTTGACACACACTCATTATTGAGTCAATTCTAAACACGTTTGACACACACTCATTGTTGAGTCAATTATAAATACGTTTGACACACACTCATTATTGAGTCAATTATAAATAAGTTTGACACACACTCATTATTGAGTCAATTCTAAACACGTTTGACACACACTCATTGTTGAGTCAATTATAAATAAGTTTGACACACACTCATTATTGAGTCAATTATAAATAAGTTTGACACACACTCATTGTTGAGTCAATTCTAAACACGTTTGACACACACTCATTGTTGAGTCAATTATAAATAAGTTTGACACACACTCATTATTGAGTCAATTCTAAACACGTTTGACACAAACTCATTGTTGAGTCAATTATATATACGTTTTACACACACTCATTATTGGGTCAATTTTAAACGCGTTTGACACAAACTCATTATTGAGTCAATTCTAAATGAGTTTGACACACACTCATTATTGAGTCAATTCTAAATCAACACAATTGCCTCGTCTTTGAGTCAAATTTAAGTAAGATTGAAACACTCAATGTTATTATTGAGGCAATTTAGATAAGCTTGTTATAAGTCAAAACTGAAAAAAGATTGTTCTTTTCGTAATCTGAATCAACGTAATACTATTTTAGTGGTTGAATCAATTCTGAATTAACATGTCTATCTTTTAAGTAACAACTTTTATATGAATCTTGAATACCGGACATACATTTAATGGACAAATGGAAATAGAAAGATTAACTTGTCGTTTGATTATCGAGTTTACTTACCAAGCTGTAAAATATGTATGGATGGATTTTTAGTGGCTATTTTCTTCAAAGCCTGAAATTAAAAAAAAAAGAAAACGGATCCATCATTAAATCGATATAGAGATCAACAAAATGTAATCAATAATTTGTCATCGATATTTACTTCTTTTTTTTTGTTCAGAGGCATTTATACAGGTTAAAGAGAGACAACTCTATCTATAAACATACAGAAGTTGATATAAAAAATATATATGATGATGATCTATTTTTTCCCGAATTACCGCCATTGCTTTAAAAATAGTGTACTACAGCGCCAGCACAAACGGATAAAACATACCACAGCGTCGACACACAATGATTAAACATGCCACAGCGTCGACACAAACGGATACACTATACCACAGCGTCAACGCACACAGATTAAACACACCACAGCGTCGACACAAACGGATATATTATGCCACAGCGTCAACGCACACAGATTAAACACACCACAGCTTCGACACAAACAGATAAAATATACCACAGCGTCGACACACACAGATTAAACATACTACAGCGTCGACACAAACAGATTAAATATACCACAGCGTCGACACACACAGATTAAACATATTACAGCGTCGACACAAACAGATTAAATAAATCACAGCGTCGACACACACAGATTAAACATACCACAGCTTCGCCACAAACAGATTAAATATACCACAGCGTCGACACACAATGATTAAACTTACTACAGCGTCGACACAAACAGATTAAATATACCACAGCGTCAACGCACACAGATTAAACATACTACAGCGTCGACACAAACAGATTAAATATATCACAGCGTCGACACACACAGATTAAACATACCACAGCGTCGACACAGACAGATAAAATATAACACAGCGTCAACGCACACAGATTAAACATACTACAGCGTCGGCACAAACAGATAAAATATATCACAGCGTCGAGACACACAGATTAAACATACCACAGCTTCGACACAAATGTATAAAACATACCACAGCGTCAACACACACGGATATAATATACCACAGCGTCGACCCAAACGGATAAAATATACCACAGCGTCAACACACACACGGATAAAATATACCACAGCGTCAACACAAACGGTTATCATATACCACAGCGTCAACACAAACGGATAAAATATACCACAGCGTCAACGCACACAGATTAAACATATCACAGCGTCGACACAAACGGATACACTATACAACATCGTCAACGCACACAGATTATACATACCACAGCGTCGACACAAACGGATATATTATACCACAGCGTCGACACAAACGGATAATATATACCACAGCGTCGACACACACAGATTAAACATGCCACAGCGTCGACACAAACGGATAAAATATACCACAGCGTCAACACACACAGATTAAACATATCACACCGTCGACACAAACGGATATATTATACCACCGCGTCGACACACACAGATTAAACATACTACAGCGTCGACACACACGGATATAATATACCACAGCGTCAACACAAACGGATAATATATACCACAGCGTCGACACACACAGATTAAACATACTACAGCGTCGACACAAACGGATATAATGTACCACAGCGTCAACACACACAGATTAAACATATCACACCGTCGACACAAACGGATATATTATACCACCGCGTCGACACACACAGATTAAACATACTACAGCGTCGACACATACGGATATAATGTACCACAGCGTCAACACACACAGATTAAACATATCACACCGTCGACACAAACGGATATATTATACCACCGCGTCGACACACACAGATTAAACATACTACAGCGTCGACACACACGGATATAATGTACCACAGCGTCAACACCCACAGATTAAACATACCACAGCGTCGACACACACGGATATAATGTACCACAGCGTCAACACACACAGATTAAACATATCACAGCGTCGACACAAACGGATACACTATACAACATCGTCAACGCACACAGATTATACATACCACAGCGTCGACACAAACGGATATATTATACCACAGCGTCGACACAAACATATCAAACATACTACAGCGTCGACACACACGGATATAATATACCACAGCGTCGACACAAACGGATAAAATATACCACAACGTCGACACAAACGGATAAAACATACTCAGCGTCAACACACACGGATTAAATATACCACAGCGTCATCACACTACGATAAAATATACCACAGCGTCGTCACACAACGATAAAATAAACTGTAGCATCAAGGTACGGATGTAATATACCACAGCGTGAACAAAGTAATCAAATATACTACAATGGCTTACCACAGCATCATGACACAGATAAAATAAACCACATCGTCGATTCACAGTGATATCTCTTCAGTTATGTATAAGTATACATATATAAAGTAAGTAAACAAATTTGGAGGGGAATTTTATCTTTAATATCGTTGTATGAAATTATTAACTGTAATAGTGTGAATTAACAACAGATGTTTAAACCCATAACAATAAATTGTTTATGATACAGTACATATAATGTCAATACATGTATCTTGCGTTAAATCTCAACGGATAACGAAAGGCATGTTGTATAATAATAATGTACGTATTTTCACATCGCAATTATTTACATAAACATTGTTTATCTATCGATGTCATTTCATTTATATTAAATATATATTGTACCATGTAATGTTAAGGACATGTGTGTGAAAGTGACGATTTGTTTCTAAAATATCAGTTTGAAGAGCGACCCTGGCGCGGGTCGCTTATTTTCCGCATGTTATAGAGGGCCGGCGTTCTGACGTTAATCGACGCCAGACCGATATAAAAAAGTCGATAAAACGTCAGAATAATTCGGACTATAACCATCCTTGAAAACATATATCAAAGTTTTACTTTTTACACAAACAATGTACGTATTAAACGTTTCAATACCGACTGTCATAGCTTGACAAAGGGACCAGTCGGTCTTGAAACGTTGGGCTCATTCCCCGAACACCAACTCTGGAAAATTGAAAGGAATGTGTTTATATAGAAAATTCTTTGATGTTTAGTTATAGCCTATTTCAACTAAGAATGTCAACTCATTTTGTAGATATGATACTAAAGTCAATAATAAAATGGATGAAAAGTTTTATACATACATATAACTGTAATACACATTTAATACAGCACTACGTAATAGAAAATAATCATTAAATATTAATATTTACATTATATGAAAAATAAAAAAAATACTTACATTATCTGAAGAAGTTTTTTTCCTTAATTTAAGCCACATTGATACTAAGGTCTGCAATAAAATAGAGTTTCTATTCATACATATAACATTTATAAACATTTAATACAGCTCTAAAATATAATTATTAAACAGAAATATAAACAGTAAACCACTAAATGAAGCGGAAGTTTCTAACACAAATCACATTCTCTATATATTTCACTAAAGTCTCTAGCACAAAACATTCTATCCAAGATGCAGAAGCTGTGATGCTGAATCGGCGTAGGTCATCGGGTCGACAGTTCCAGTCTGATAACGGTTTTTCATGGTTTTTTCAACGTCTGTCGACGTTGGCGTATCTCTTCTTTCGGGGTTGAAAAGTGCCTCCTGCATCTCTCTGGATCCGGTTGATGTCATTCACGTTCTGTATGTCTTTAAACGTCTGGCTGATGGTGTAGATGTTGGGGTGGGCATGCAGTAACCTTCTTTTCAGTTTTCCGTGCCAAGCTACCAGATGGTTGGTAGTCCGAGGTCCCTCTGTTGAGAAGTGGTTCCAGGTTGGTCGGTCTCCTTCTACCCATTGCTCTGTGACGTAGTCTGTGAAAAGCAGCACGGGATGTGGTATGTCAGCATCATCAGCATCTTCAAGGGTTTGGAACCAGACGTCTTCTATGCGGTCTAAGGGGATGAGTGGAAGAACAGCAGCTCGGTGGACAAGTAATTTGACGTCGTCGTTCTCATGGTACAGTGTCTGGAGTACGATTGACTGGGCCTTTCGCCAAATACATTGAGTGTAATGAAAGAAACAGCCTTTTAAGTTGATACAAGGGAAGACACTGCTGATGGCGTTGTGTGCAGCTACCTCAAAATCGACGAAGGCTGTTGTGGGTCGGAATGGAATCTGGAAGTTTGTCATGTTTTCCTGTAGTATCGTGAAGAAACGGTTGTAGATAGCCTGGTTCTTTCCGGGAAGTAGTGCATATACAACTGGGGTCATCATACCTTCAGTCTGTAAATGGATGCTGTAAATCTGGTGAAACATAGTAGGACAGGTGTAGACTAGGTGCCGTCCCTGAAGAATACGTCGGAGGCTGCAAGTTCTGTTGTTCTGTTCACCGTCGTCGAAGAGGAGAAATGGTTCGCCTGTAGATGTTTCTGTCCATCTTCCATCCAAGGTGATGTCGGTCAAGGTCTTTGGTAGTGGATGAGTCTGTTTGCGGCGAGCACGGTAGAGAGATGATTTGGCAGTGTAAAATGTTGGCAGTCGCTGGACCACGGCTTTGGAAGTGTCATCCAAGTCGTTGTCTCGGAGTTGGTTGAGTTCCTCGTCGAAGATGGAGGTATTGGTCTGATAGATTTCACGTAGCGGTTGGTGATCTAGTTCATTATCTGTTTTGCATCAATGTGTGGATGTCTTCCGAAGTTTGCTGGTATGTTGTTTACTGTCGAGAGGGACGCTGAACAACCTGGGATTGAACATCTCCAGAATGTTCTGTCGCCGTTCCATCACGGGAAAGGTTCTGTCCGCCTCTTCTGCTGGTGATGATCTTTTGCCATCTTTTAGATGATGCATCAAAGCACACAATAACAGATAATAATATCAAACTGAAGTCACACAAGTTAAACACAATGCATACAAATCTGAAAATAAGTACAAGTTTAACTAATATATGACAATAATTATAAGAGAATTCACACAAATCTGAAAATACAAGTTTAACTAATATACCATAATAAATATATGATAATTCACACAAATTTGAAAAAAAAGTACAAGTTCATCTAAAACAATGACAAATTCTGAATACAAAATTCACATTCACTGAGTAAAGAAGTTGTTGTTTCAAATTACAGAGCGAAATATGATAATTCTCCAAAATGTGCTGCTGTTTTATACATAACCCATTTAACAGCTTTGGATTGGAACTCTAACAATAAATTTGTTTGATACTGAAACTTTTTCTAAATATTAATTAATATTTTGCAATTATTGCAGTTATTGATTATCTGATTAGTTATCAGAAGTTGATTTTCCTGTGCAATTTACCTGTACATCTTTTCTGCAATATACTATAACTCACTATCATCACAACTGACCACCTATGTAAACATGTTTTTTTTAACAGAGTTGGTGTTCAGGGAATCCACCGAAACGTTGCGACACGTTTAATACATTGTTTGTGTAAAAAGTAAAAACTTTGATATCACATATTTCCAAACTGATGAATCTTATTAAAGATATCAGATGCTTGAAAACAGTTTCCAATGTTTGTTTACATTTTTGGCAGTGGTGCAGGGATCCTTAACTTATAATGATATATTTTCATTTTATAAACAAAACAATAATCTGTAAACTTACCACAGCGTTGTCTGGTTTCCGGCATGTAGCTATAATACATGATGGCGATGATGGTAAACTAGCCAGTTGTCTGACGAATTCGAGACCAAGTCCTCTATTGGAACCCGTCACGAGCACTGTCTTTGGTGGCGAGTTCATTATAGCTTACCAGGTACAGGTAATGTTATACGGCTAGACCTCGTCTATTCTTATATATAACCAAGTTCCCCCTAACGTAGACACAATGAGTAATTATAGGATAACGACTTGAAACATTTCGGCCTCGCAGAGCAAAGATCACTGGTTATATCAACTAAACATGTGTATTCCCGTATTCTTAATGATGTGGTTCGTAGAAATACTTGTTTCTGGTTCACGTTTCTTTCCCGGATCAGATATTCCCTAGAAGTTGAAGGTCTCGTAAGAAAAAAAAACACGTGTGGCGAACAGGATAAGACAAGGACCACATCACATGTATCTCGTACCAGCAATGATATAAAGGCTTTGATAGAGATCGTTAAGACCCGTGCATTTCTACAGAAGACATGTATCTACATGTAAAGAGATGTGTCCGTCACGACGGAATGACATTTGACATGCCTATATGTACAAGGGCTTTCAAACTAGCAAAATGTCGATATATGGCTAGTGTATGTTCGTATACACTTACATCACCATACTCCTACGAAATGTATACAATACACGTGAAATATCTCCCCCATAATATTTGTTTTGGTATATATCGTATATACCTAAAAAGAAAAACAACTGATGACGGAACTACTTTTTACACTTCAGAATGCAAAATTACAACGCACCTGTTTTTTTTAGCGCAATTGTTTAGTTTACGTAAAAATTAAATAAATCTTTAACTGTGCATTTACAACGTGTTTGTCTACTTTTTCAAAATTAAATTATAAAGAATGACCAAGATTTTGTTTGGTATATACGGTATATACCGAAAAAAAAATGTGCACTTTTTTGCATAAACCGCTTCGCAGATTTATGCCAAAGTGGACATTTTTTTCCGGTATATAACGTATATACCAAAAAAAAATCTTGGTCATTCCTAAATAAACAACAAAATCATGTAAATGCACGTCTTAAGCATGTGTACTCTATTCATGAAGTCACAGATAAATTCAAATCACCCGAAGAGGCCCAAGATGGGCGAAAGTACTAGCGAGATTTAGACTTCGGTGTTTTGTTTTATTTACATGTATAGATATATATATGAATTGAAATCTGAAAGAAACAAGCACGTATTGTTAAAATTTTAATATGTCGATTTCGAAAGCTTAACACATTAAATATTTACTGCACCAAATGGTCACTCTGTGGTGACAAATACAGAAAGAGTGACGATGCATGTCTAACGTGACATATGTAAAGTACACAGCAAAAATTTATCATAATACAAATATAAAATGTTCGGCCACGACAGATGATTTATTTTCGAACATATAATTCCTGAAACACGTGACAGAGTTAATGCATGAATAATTAGTATGTGGTTACATGAGCTTGTCATTTTATTTATCTATTTCTTTTGCAACGATAACATAATTACATATAATGTAATCTGAACGTATCTTATCATATCATATATATAAAATAGATGAGACAGTAGACGCTTACCCTTCAGAAACACCTGGTCTTACTCTCCGTGTACTTTCTTTAAAGGTGTTAATGTATATCTTCACTTCCTACTAAATTTATTCAATACACAGGTGATATCAAAAGGGAAAAGATAAGTAATAGAACAATTATCACTTTAAGTCCAAATATTTCGGCCTCCTGGCCTTCTCCAAGGGCGAAAGTCAAAGATTGATTCAAGTGACGTCCATCTTGCTTCTTAGGAACATACCTATAAATCTATTTATTGTTGTTGACACAATATGTCAACCAATAGCCTTGTGTAACGGTTCAAAAGCAACCAATGAAGTAAATACAAAACGAACGTTGTAAGATATATAAAACATGTTAAAAACAACTTTCAGCTGTAAAACAATTAGTGTTTGTAAGAATCTGCTGAAACATACGGGGCATAAATGTGTACTTGAGTACTACCTTTAAAATAACCTATCACCAAATGAATTACAAACGAGCATTATAATGACGTCTCTAAAGCAGGGGGCCGCCATTGGGTCGCGGGTTCGAGACCTACGTGAGGCAGTCGCCAGGTACTGGTCGTAGGTCGGTGGTTTTTCTCCTGGAACTTCAGCTTTCCTCCACCACCAAAACCTGGCACGTCCTGAAATGATCATAGCTGTTATAAGGACGTAAAACACAAACAAACCAAACCAACCAAACTCTAAAGCAGAAGATTGCCTTACCGGTAAAATATTGCTCCCTCAAATAAGGCAATATTAGAAGCATTACAAAAACAACATACTCAACGTTTAAATAAAAATATCACTGAGAAATAAATGCACGTTTAAGGATCCCCGTACCGCTGCCAAAAACTGTAAATAAGTGTTGGAAACTGTTTTATTTTCAGCATGACTATAGCTATGATAAGTCATTTCTTTATAAAAAACAAGATACTGTGTGGGACTTTTATGAGAAATAATAAATATGAAATAAACAAAATGTAATCAACAACAGTATTTTTGGAGTGTAAACTCAAGATAATTTCCTATCCATTCTCCTCTGACAAAGTTCAACAACATTGTATAAACAAACATACCACAGCTAATAGGTTATACTAGAGAGTAAATTTAAGAAAATGATACCCTAACTTTTCGACAAAAGAGTTTCCGGGTTTGAAAATATGAATTCCATTATGGTTAACAGATATTGAATGCATATACTAACTACTAGAAAAATGAAATAAAGAAATAATTATTCAAAAAAATGAATAAGTAAATAAGGACGACCCAGGCACAAGCCAGCTGCTATGAGACATGGTTCATCCGGGCGGAAATATGTTATATGGGCGTCTGCTTTTGACGTGCAACATGTATTACTAAACACACGAACAGGCAGTTATTAAATGTAATTTATCATCTGACAACAATTGGTACAATTACTGTTACTGTATTAAGGTAGTTATATATGCGGTATGGTTTTCACGAAAAACAGTTATCAAAATATTTATCAAAATATACGATCATCACTTCAGGATGTAAATTCTTCTTGGGTAGATCACGCGAAATAAAACGTGAATATAGGAATGTGTATATTTGTATCCGGTTGGCTTTCTAAGACTTACATGTTTAGTAAAATATGTTAAAATGTTTCCTTTTTTTCTCTCTTCCTGAAATTATTAGAAAACATAAGAAATGACAAGGAAGACTGAGCTACTGTAATGGTTTCTCGGTAAAGTATCGTCCTGACATTCTGGTAAGCAACGGGAAACACGTGCCTTTCACAGACAAAGCTAAAAGGTGGTATGAAACGTCAACACAGACATTTAACACAGACATTTAACGTGTTTTACTTAAAATATATTAGATGCAAACATTAAAGACTTAAAGTACACACATTAAATCGTTATAATCAACATAGGAAACGCAAAAACAAATTTAATGAAGATTTATCTAACTTCATGTTGGATTTGCCTTTAAAAGCAGTTCAGTACCTATATTACCATTTTTGGAATCTGCTCATCTCATGAAAACTTCAATAACACAAATGTGATTATTTTTCTCATCGCTATTACCGAAGGCGTTCTATGTTGTATATAAAATAAAAGAATTAACCAACGACCACGATAACGATAATAATTAGGTGCTGACCATAAACACTGATCATACAAAGCCAACAGATGAAGATAACAAATAATGACAAGGACGACAAATCGATAAAAAGAGGCCTTATTGTCAAAACAAGAGAACAAATAATCCACGACGTCTGTGCACAAAGACAATTTAATATTTGGTTTTTGTTTTTGTTTGTTTTGTTTTGTTGTTTGTTTTGGATGTAGCGTTCTCGGAACAGCTAAGGTCATTCAACGGTTGCATAGAGAGAGACACCAGCCTAAAAGAAAGCGAAGAAAGAATAGAAAAGATGTAGATCCCAAGTGGTGTAAGTAGGGCAGCAGGTCAATTTGTGTTTCTTTATTATCCTCCAAGCAGAAAACATAGGAGACAACTTGCTGATTCTGCAGGGGGTACACTCATTAGTCGCCTCATACGAAAAACGTGCAGTAAAATATATGAGTTCTATCTTTCCCCGAACTTCAAGCGGTTCACTCAAAGCATAAAAAGACCACAGCGGCAATACACCCTACGACAAAATACAACACAGCATGAATACTTGCCAGTAGAGTATACGTGACTGCGTCCAAACACAACGACAAATATTTGTGTTTCCTTCGGACAGTCTTTAGATAAGTTTCGACACCGATAACATTATAATCCAATAGCGGCAGGGCCATGACACGGAATGCTTTAAAATGGTAATCCCTTGTGATTTTCCGCCAAACCATTTGATTTTCCAGGCACCAATCATGGTGTGACGTCAAATAGTTATAGAGAGATTGTGTTTGTGAAGACATGAGTGTTCCGTCATTTGGTAAAATGATCTGTTTAAAACGTAATATGAACGTAAATATAAATATTATTAAAGAATCAATATGATCAATTCACAAGGCGTCAATATAAACAAAAGCAAAACAAACCATAAGGCCAACACACGCAGGGACAGAATGTAACACATTGTTAAAAGAAAATACGGAATATACCGCGGCGCCAACGTTTTTCAAATGCTAAAATCTCGAACAATTGAAATTTCGTTGAATACATCGCAAAATGTGTTTTATATCGACACATGTCGACATTTACGCAAGGTTAATTCTACTGACAACAAATACTTCACATGAAACAATGTAAGGGAGGCAATTGGTTTGTTTGTTTGGAGTTTAACGTCCTCGCAACAGCCAGGGTCATATGAGGACGGGTGCCTAGGTGAGCAAATGTTGTGAAGTTGAAAAAGAAACGGTACATTATTTCGCAGGGAACTCCGGCTGTCCTCCACCACTTAAAACTGGCACGTCCTTGAATGAACATAGCTGTTAATAGGGCGTAAAACACAAACAAACAAACAAACAAACAAACCAAACCAAACCTTTTCGCTATAAATCAACAGTTTTATTATTCCATATTCTCATTCTCCTCGAAAAGACGCACCTGCAGGTCGGGGATCGAGAAAAGAATACACCTGTTGTTACCCACAGCATGTATAGTAATAGGCGACTTATGTGGGAACCCCCTGCAGAATTGGGGATTTGCTTTTGTGCCCCTACTTGGAGACACAAATGCGATCAAAATTAATCTGCTGCACCAATTGCAATATTTGGAATATTTGTATTTCTCTCTATTTCTTACAACCTTTCATTTCCTGGCGCCTTGTTTGGCAATACCTCACTTTTCGCTTTAATTTTGAACGTTCGCCCAGGTGAGGAATGCAATGGGTTCTGTCCTCAGGCCGGGACATACCAAAGTACATGTACTTTAAAAGGTAATTGATTTTCTCTGCTTAACGTTCAGCATTTAGGGGAATGACAACAACTGGTTAACCCGTTGTCAGTACAATGTGACCGGGCGGAATGCTGTGATGGGTGCCTGCGGCATGCTATAACAGTGATATAGCACTATAAAGTCGGCATCAGATCCGCGCTATCACAAGGAGACAAGTACACCAACATACCCTGCCTCCAGCACACATACACACATACATGCTTACACAATACACATGGCGGCACGCCCTTAAATGACACTAGCTGTCATTAGGACGTTAAATAATATAAAACCTAAACCAAACTAAAACCTCGAAAAGAAAAGAAAAAAGTGATAATAATAAGAATGGTATATATTCTGAAGTTCCATAATGTTTAATGTTTCTTAATTTTATTTATTCTATTAGTTTACAAACAATCGCAAATGCACCTATTTGTGGTTCAGACTCATTCCAAACTTTGACTGAAATGCTATACCGCATATATAATGCGTAACAAATATATTGTTTTCGCGTGAACCGGTACCTCTTTTTGTGCTTAGATTATTGAGTACGGAACTCGCTTTTGGTGAATGGTTACTATCATATGATTAATTTTCTCTGAAATTAACAAAGAAAACCATATCGTATAGTTTTCAAAGCAGCAGACTATTGTATCTTTTTAATCTGATACTTTTTGGCGACAGACATACTTGGGACATCCATGAATAAATTACCAGTACATGTATGCCATAAAAAAGTTTTATAGCAACAAACAATATGTTGTTATGCCTAAAATAATGCGAAACATGGGGCGGGGTTTGGCGTTCTCACGAATATATATCATTCGTTAGTTCTTTAGCTGTTAACATCGAACGGTCGTGAACACAACATTCTAAATTGGAAGTTTTATTTTGGTACGGATGGACAACATCTTTGACCTTTGTCAGCATGTGACTGATATCCGACAACAGACCCGCAACCCTGCAATTCTTAAAGTACAATATACACATTCGTTTATACATATTGTATGCTGTGATTTACTAGCAACTTTGGAAGATCTGACGCAAACAGGAACAAGATTATGAATGTATTTTATATAATGTCGAGCAACAAAGCAAACTAAAAATCTTAAAGAGCTGAAACAATGTTGAGAAAAACAAAATGTATTTTTCACTATAAGTCACTTTCAGTTCCCGGCCGCTCACGGGGCAGCTCGTTTTAAAATTTTCATATCTATCAATTTGTGATTACTTTTCTTTGATTTAAAATTTGTGATATTCAATTTTCATATTAGCTGTATTTCAGTGGTATAATTCGTAACAAATTATAGATTCATATTTATGATTTAATAATTAAGGTTGCGCACTCGGCTACCAAAAATGACAATAACTACCATTTTTACAGACTCTAGTATGTCTCGGCCAGGGGGCAGAACCGAAAGCCTTCCTCACAGGGACGAACGCTCAACTAAAGGCCAAAATTGAGGTATTGTCAAGGGAGACATTAGGAAGAAGAAAGTTGTTTAGAAAGAAGAGAAAAGATAATATCCCAAATTTAGTCGCCTCTTACGATCATGCAATGGGTGCGAAGTACAACTCTTACGCCCTACCTGCAGGGGCATTGTTTGGGTCTCAAACTTACAAATCAGCCAGCCAGGCAATATCAACTATCAAAACCATAAAACCATTTCAATCTCCTCATAAGTTTTAAAAGTCGCGATACAACATTATTTCACAGTGGCGGATCCAGAGACCTATCTGGGTGGGTGAGTGGGGTTCCAAATTTCCAGGGGGATTTCCATGTGGGGGAAAATTGAGGAAAATGGTGAAAATACATGATTTTTAAAGAAAATTATCGGGGGGGGGGGGGGGGGGGTTGTCTTGAAGGAACTTATTATATCTATACACAGAATAGCTACAACTTACACAGGTAACTTTCACACAGGTAAGTTAACAACACTTTTCCTTGTTCTCTAAAAGGTAGGAGAACTGAGAGCATCCCGCAGGTTCGATCCCCGGTAGAAGCACATTACTCTCTTTCCTAATACAAAATTAAAGCTCTTAAAATTGTACCCTAAAAGTGAAAGTCTCGTCAAACCTATAACGGGCTAAATCTACACCCTCTTTGAAAAAAATGATAACCCTCACCCGAAATAAATGAATTAAAAAAATATTTCGGACTATCAAAACATGCGAAGCCTTGTTTAAAGCTTAAGCTGATGAGTTTAATGACAAAGGGAAATTCCAAACTATTCTATTAAAAGAGATAATAATGATACAAATTAAGATTGAAGTTGTACAATAGTATATGTACACGGTTTTAAGATAACTATTTCATGACAACAAACACAAAAGAAAAGTATTTTCTTTCACAGATTTAAAAAGAATTAGTTTGCCTTAAGCGTTAATGCGTTAACGCAATTAATGATAACTTTTACGTACCTTAGTAGGTAAAACTGGTCAGTGTTTGAACAAACGGTCTCACAGACCATCTACATTAAATCCTTTTCTCGGCCGAGTGCAGTAACTACAGAACCTTGGAAAAAATCATGTCTTCACGGGCATTGTAAACCACAGGGACCTGAGAATTTGTTACAGCTATATTTGGACCTAAACTAAGGTGTTCAGAGTAATTTTACATGTTTTAGGGGTTTAGATCGACTTTCGGTAAAAATGACACCCCCAATGATCAACAAATTATCAGGTCCCTGTAGTGTAAACGTGTAGACATCTCTACGATTTAACTCATATCCCCACCCCACTTCTTTCGACATACAATGTAGTAAGTAACTTTATTTGGTCTCGAGATCATTAAAACATGATATATCCAGAAAAGGTTAACTTATATTCCATTAAAAAGTATCACTTACAACCTATGATTTCTGAAAACTTAGTATTCCATTAAAAAGTATCACTTAAAACCTATGATTTCTGAAAACTTAGAGAGGACATGTTCAAAAAATCTTAAAATAATAATTTGTTTCCACAGTGTAACTTAATCTTTGTTAGCTAGCCTAATTTGATATAATTAAATATGATACATAATGGACGCAGACTACAAGCTTCTATATCCATATCAGTACATACAACAAAATTAACATTATGATATACTTCAAGTGTCAATTAAACAGTTTTTAAAACTAAAAATTAAAAGTTATATTTTCACGTTTACAGTCGGTACTCATCTAAACCAATTTCAAACTGTATAACATTAGATGAATCAGTGCCATCCTGTGGAAAACTGTTCCATTTATCAACAACACGGAAAGTAAAGAAATGTTTCCTTATACCAAGGTGACAGTGCAATTATTCACGTTATTATATGTCTAGTTATGACAATGTGCTGATCTTTTTTTTCTTGACCACCTTTAATTTTAATCACTATTCATGTTAAGGTCTGTCCCATTTAATCTTTGTAAAGGTAACTAAACCCAAAGACATTTAATCCACGTAGTTATATTTCATGGTCCCGGCTGGCACATTATCAGATCCGAACTTGTTATGATAAACATAGCAACAAGGAAACTCTGTTTATTTTTTCACATGCATAAGCGACCTTCTGACCAAATCACGTGACTTTCTACCAGAGACCTAGTTTTGGAGTGCACCGGCGGGCAAGAAAACTATAGCAGGCAGGCTGCCGTCAAGTTGACATAAAAATGGTGGCTTCGTCGGGAAATGTAACCACTGCATCAGACATAGATCAGGTGCATGGTTACTATATGATGTTCGGCACAATGGTATTATTCACTGGAGTGAACCTCTTCATAACTAGACTTGGCACCCCTAAGACAGTTCGTGAAGATCCCTGGCGATGGAAGAATATCTTAATTTCGTGGGTGCATGCATTGATTTGCGGCGTTTGGGATATTTTATGGTAAATTTGATGAAGTTTGTCGTTTGATCTTTATAACACAAGTGTTTTTATCCTGATGAAATCGGAAAAACCAGACATGAATCATCGTGTGATGGTTATTAAGAAAAAATATGTCGCTTAAATCATTTCAAAAATATTAACTTGGCATTTACCATTAATACTCGTCAGTATATTGTCGCATACAACACGTTAGTGTTACCAGTTTTTCATCTTGCTCTGTCAAAATGCAGTTAGTTGATCATCAGAAAAATAATCAATTAATAGTGATCTTATATTATATTCATTTGTCAAAAGGACCACTCTAAACACCGGGACTGAGAAATTAAAAGTTGTCAATATATATGCATGACATTGTTTAGAATTGAGAGCCATACCATTAATACCATTTCCCCAATAGTGATATCCACTACAAAACATGTAGTTGTTTGTCATCATCTTTGTCTGATCATGCAGAAACCCTGTTAATTGTTTATAAAATTAAAGGCTTAAATTAAGTGTTGAGTCTGTTTCAGGGGTGTAAAAATTGTTTTGAAAGCACTTTCCCTTGGCAAGTAGACATTAGAAAATAGAAATTCACTTGCCTGAATATAATTTCTACCTGCCCCCTTAAAATGCATATGTAATTGGAGTATAAAATGCCTTGCCAGAACAAGGTTGAACCGTTCGAACCCTAGACCTTCCAAACACTAGACATACTTTCTACCTTTTAATTAAGCTACCTGGTCGCCTATGATCGACCAAGTCCAGTTTTGCTACATTCCTCCCTCCTTTACCAAGTCTTTGCCCCAGTAGACAACACTGTTTCCAACCCGGGTTCGGGTATCACCTTGCCAAGCATTCACTTAGTACTTGAAACCAGAAATAAGAGTTGCATGGTCATAGCTATAGGCACCAAATGTAACAGGAACGGAAAATTGCACAGCCAGACTGGGGTTTGAACCCAGGATCTTCCTAACTCTAAACAGACACTCTACAGGGGTGGAATTAAAAAAACCCAGTTACTGGTCCAAAAGGCCAGTTGAAATAAAAATCTACTGGTCCTGTTTGAAGTGCACTGGTCCAGGTACGAGGGCAACAGGCCCAAGCGAGCCCCAAAGGTACCGGATACTCTTCTGATCCCCCACCAGAAATTTGAAATCGAGAAGCTTTGTGATACATTTTTGGCTGAAATTTTTGATAAATTTACAAAATATCTACTTGCCAGGCGGAATAGCTTGTTGAAAAACCTACTGGTCTACCCAGAAAATCACGGGCCAGTTGACCAGCTACTGATTCCACCCCTGATAATGATGAAATTAAAAATATATTATGGCAAGACAACACGGGACAAACTCTATTTAACTAAAAAGCCTTAGTGTAAACATGATTTAGGATGAAATGCCCTGGATTCGTAGTCATTACAACTGCTATCAAATCACATATTTAATATACATTCTTCTGTTAAATTTTCAATACAAATTTAAACTTTTGAAAAGGTAAAAGAAAACAAAAATAACTTGGTCTAGGTAATGGTAGGGCAATTTGCCCCAATTAAAACACCAAAAACGTCCCAAACTGACCCAAAAACCATCAACAATAGCATTCAGCTAAAAAGGGAACTATTTTACATATCCTTATTGGCAAAATATTCATCTGTGTTATGCTGTCAAAAAGCGGAAGAAATTTGTGACTTGCAAAAGCTATTGCGGCAAAAACGAGAAAGTAAATCGTTCACAAACGGCAAGACAATTTATATATAATTACCCAACACTACAAATTCAAATAAATAAACTTCATGTGCTTGTATTAATTTACTAGATTTTTCAAAACTCCCAATCAGCTTTGAAGGCAATACCATGATTGCTATCTCACTCATATAGTCAGGTTTATATTATATATACCAAATTGACTTGCATCATAACGGAATGACCTACAGCCTTTCATTTGTCAACACTATCATTTTTTTTCAGAAATGGCTGCTGGAAATTATTAAATATAAATCATTCGTCTAAAGTTTCCATTTATATGTTAACTCAAAAAATGGAGTTTTGGATATGTTGTTGGGTCGTTTTGTGTGTGCTTTTTGGTTTGTTTAGAGTAAATCACCTTGCCCGATACATATTTAATGTCTGTCTATATTGAGGGTGTTTCTCTAAATTTAACATTATAAAATGAAACTCCCTTTGAAGATGCAATTCTTCAGGGTTCAGAATTAACAATGGCCTGTTGCCACACAAAATATGGTAAATCTATGAAAAATTCCATTGACCTATATAGCTAGTCCTATTGTCATACATAATTTTACAATCATTGGGGAAGTCATGCATTTGATGAAAAAAATTTGTTTACAATACTTAGAATTTTTATTTCAACATTTTCCATATAAGAAGTCATTTCATTTTCAAAGAAATAATCTGAAATAATTCCCTTTTTTCTTCAATTTTCAGTCTCGTATTGTATCCAGAACTATTTGGTGACTTGATTCTTCATATAAATTACTTCACTTTTCTCATGATACCCTTTTCAACAGGTAAGTATTCATATACAATCATCAATAATGGTAAAAGTTAAACCATCCTATATTCTAAAGTTTTGTTTGTGTTTGTTGTTGTGTAATTCAGCAGTTTTCAGTTGAAAACATAGACTACACCTATAAAAAACGGGATCAATCTACAATTTATTTTCACGGGTCCTCTTCAACTATATTGCTAATCATTGGGTCCCACAACTTAAAATTTCCGTTCTATCTAAATTCTATGAGTATAGGACTCTGCACTCGTATGTAGATTTATCACTGTACTGAATATCAGCAGATCGACAGCTTTTCACAATTTAGAACAAAGATGCTAGAACATGTATGCCATGGAACAATGTAAGACTATATAGTATACATGTACTTGAATATAATCAGGAATCTGGAAAACTATATTTCAGTATGCTCTTAAGAACTTTAGTTGCACATCGAAGTGCCCAAACTGATAATATTCTTCTCTTTACTAGTTAATTATCTCCCCTTGGAGAAAAAAATCAAGACCATTTAAAAAGTGTGAATAAAAATGTTCAGCATATTTTTTGTTTATTTAGAACATCTTCAATTTTTTTTGTTTTACAGGGTATTTTCTCTATGATTCCATTGATATGCTGATCAACAAGAAACTACGCCAAAACTGGGAGGTCACGGCACATCATATTGCTGTAAGTTGTATTTAGAGGCTGATAAGGGATATGATATCAAAATCGTCATATTATAAACTTTTTATCATATGTTCAAGTAACAAAAAATCAAGTCAACACGAAAAACAATAAGATAATTTAATCAACAATGTCAACTGAAACAGATTATTACAAGATGATATTCAGTCAATTCTGAATAAATATCGTTTCAAATCGCTGCTGTCAGTAATTATTAGTCCAAGTGTTCAAGTATTCTAGACGCTAGAGAATTAAGTATTCCCTCTCCCTGGTTTGTTGACGTCTGCTCAACACACTGTCTCAGCAAAAAAACAGCTGACAGCGCAAATCCAGATTTTACTTGGAACGCTTCGGGCGCTTCACATATCCAATACAGAAGTAGAGGTGTTCCGAACAGGGGGTGCATTACGAGAATTGTTATCGCATGGGGGGGTGCATTACGAGAAACTTATCACACGGATGACCGGAAGTGGTATCAGGAGTGGTCAGAAGTTATCAAATATGCAAAAACACTCATATTCTGAGTAAACATATGATAATACATTTTATGGTATAGAGTTAGTAGCTTAGTACTAAATGGGACTAACTAAAGTTCCCAGTCTGGCACAAGTCAAGGAACCTTACTTTTCAGTTAAGAAAAATATAAATGTCTACTAGCATATATCATTCAACAGAATTTCATGACAAAAAAGATTTTTTCTGGATTTTAAACTATTGTGAGTGTCAAAAAACAAAAATAACACAATATAGACTTGTCGTTTGTGGAAATACAATTGCATAAAGTAATTCATCCTGCAGGTAGATTTCATACTTGCCAACTCTCCCTTATTGGGAGGGAGACTCCCTATTTTGGACCCTAAAATTGATCGTTTTCAACTAGTGAATTCGCTGAACTTTTCTTATAAATTTTCTAAGGTCTGTTTGTTTCATCTGAAAAAACAGCTCCAAAGATGCCATTTAAAAGTGTTATTTTTACACCACATACACATGGTCGTGACTTTACATTGAATTTCCTTTTTAGGTCACCTGAGCTTTGCTCAAGTGACCTACATGTATTCTAATCGCTTTCCGTCCGTCGTGCGTAAACTCTTTTTACATTTTCAACTTCTTCTCAAGAAACAGTGGATGGATTTTTTTCAAACTTGGTCAGAATCATCCTTGGTAGATGAGGCTACAAAATTGTAAAACTGGGATTCCTACCCCAACCCCTGAGGCCAGGGCGGGCCCCCAAAGGGAAAATTAACCAATATTTCAAAAATCTTCTTCTCCAGACTCAGAGGTACTACATTCAATTTCAGTGCATGGAAAGAAAGAAAATCAGGGGCTTAATTTAAATTGTAAATTTCAGGACCCCCAAGCTATCTGTTCTCCCTCTGGAAGGGGGTTAAGTTTACTATAGTTTATATAGGGAAATAACACTTTTGGTTATATTTTAACAACTTTCTGTAAGAAATTATTTTTACTTGGTGAGAATTATCCTTGGAGGAAAATGGTTTCAAATTGTAAAATTGGAATTTCTACCCCAACCCCTGGGGCCAGGGCGGGGCCACATAGGGAAAATTAACCAATATTTCAAAAATCTTCTTTTCCAGACTCAGAGGTACAACATTCAATTTCAGTGCATAAAAAGAAAGATCATCAGGGCCTTTATTTAAATTGTAAATTTCAGGACCCTCAAGCTATCAGTTCTGCATTGGGGAGGGGGTAAAGTTTACTACAGTTTATATAAGGAAATAACACTTTTGGGTATATGTTATCCATTTTCTGCAGAAAATTACTCAAACTTAGTCAGAATTATCTTTGGTGAATGAGGGTATTACATATGCATTGTAAAATTAGGATTCCTGCCCGATCCCAAGGGGCTAGGGCGGGGCCCCAAAGGGAACATTTACCAATATTTTCAAAATCTTATCCTTTAATTTGATGACATGACAAGTATTGTATTCACTTAGTTTACATGCTGATTTCCACATCACATCTAAACAATAAAATAAAGCTACTAGTACCTATGATATAACTCAGGTGACCGCTAAGGCCCTTGGGCATCTTGTTCCTTTTAATTCTGAACTTAATCTCCCCCAAATCTTTTTTAAAAAGTTGGCAAGTATGAGATTTAAAAAAAGATTCTATTTGGCTGATTTATTTTTGCGTAGTTAATGTTAAAATATTTTCCTAATGTCACGGAATGATTACAATGTACCTGTCAAAAAAAGTTAACTATACATTGGAAACTGCTTTTTTGTCAAGACAGAAGGGTTGATAAATCATTTCTGAAAAGAAAAACGTACGTTGCATGACTTTTATGAAAAGTAATATAGATGAAATCACACAAAAGATAATCAATAACAGTGTACTTTGTTTAAAAATGTCTGCAGGGATAAACCAGGTTAACAAATCAGCCAGATTAAACTGGAACTCAGTCCCTGATCATCACATTCCTATACTCTTGCTCTATTCTGCTGAGCTTTCTACTCTACAGAAGTGTCCTTGCCCAACTATGCTACAGTTCCATTGTAAAGGAAAATAAGGGGAGGTTACTGTATATACTATATATTAAAATAAAATGCAATGCAGTAGGATATGGATCCTTAACAAGTTCTGCTAGCTCACGGTGTCAGACTACTGGCGATGTACTACATCCCAGGCTTTTTGTATTAATTTTGAATTTTAAGTATTAGAAGTCTTCAAAAGTTTTATGGAAATGCCTAAGGGGATGCAGTGTTAAATCGTGATTGTTCGCAACTTTTCATCATCTGGAGATTTCTCCACACAAAACTTTCCTTGTCTCTTCATTCATCGATCAGGCTCTCCTTTCAACGCTTTCCTTGTTTCTGCATCTATCTGTCTCTCCATACAACACTTTCCTTGTCTCTTCATTCATCAATCTCTCCATACAACTCTTTCCTTGTTTCTGCATCTGTCTGTCTCTCAATACAACACTTTCCTTATTTCTGCATCTGTCTGTCTCTCCATACAACACTTTCCTTGTTTCTGCATCTGTCTGTCTCTCCACACAAAACTTTCCTTGTCTCTTCATTCATCAATCTCTCCATACAACTCTTTCCTTATTTCTGCATCTGTCTGACTCTCCATACAACACTTTCCTTATTGCTGTGTCTGTCTGTCTCTCCATACAACCCTTTCCTTGTTTCTGCATCTATCTGTCTCTCCATACACCACTTTCCTTGTCTCTTCATTCATCAATCAGGCTCTCCTTTCAACGCTTTCCTTATTTCTGCTTCTGTCTGTCTCTCCACACAAAACTTTCCTTGTCTCTTCATTCATCAATCAGGCTCTCCTTTCAACGCTTTCCTTATTTCTGCATCTGTCTGTCTCTCCACACAAAACTTTCCTTGTCTCTTCATTCATCAATCAGGCTCTCCTTTCAACGCTTTCCTTATTTCTGCATCTGTCTGTCTCTCCATACAACACTTTCCTTGTTTCTGCATCTGTCTGTTCCCCTTACAACATTTTCCTTATCTCTTCATATATAAGTATCCACATGCAACACTTTCTCTGTTTCTGCATCCGTCTATCTCTCCATACAACTTCTTGTCTACAGAACCTTGATGAAACTTCAGACATGTGTGCATCAATACTAGATGTTGTGTCAAACAGTATTTTAACCCACTCAACCCTGAACTTTCATAATGAACTATTCCAACCTTTGAATTTGAGGTGTTCAAATGTGTCTTCAGGGGTGAGTAAGTTAGGTGTATTTTTTAAAGATTATTAGGCCACTTACAGTTGAAGATAAACATTTCTCCAGCCTTTCATGGCCTTTTACCTGTTCCGGACTATCTGTAACCCCCATATATATGACAGATGGAGAAAAACAATACAATTATGTCAGAGGAACAATAAGTTATGCTGTCACAATCAAAGTTGATAGTCAATCGCAAATCAAACATGCTAGACTACTGTTTGTGAAGTTCTGACTAAGATAATAGGATAGACGAAAAAATAGTAGCATCCCTCCCTTTGAGGATGTGACTGGGAAAATCTCCATCCAGAGGGGTGAAATATTGTCCGTCGTCCGTCCGTTCGGCGTCAATATTTTACTTTAAACGACTTCTTCTTAATAACCGAAAGGCCTAGGGTGATGATATTTGGCCAGAAGCAAACTGGGATGAAGGGCTAAAAAGTTTGTTAAAATGAATGACCTTCACCCATTTTCAAGGTCACAGGGGTCAAATATATAAAAAAAAACTTAAACATCTTCTTCTCCATAACCAAACTGCCCAGGGAGATGATATTTGGCCAGTAGCATGCTTGGGTGAAGGGCTACCGAGTTTGTTCAGATGAATGACCTTCAATGATATTCAAAGTCACAGGGGTCAAATATGTTAAAAACATTAAACAACTTCTTCTGAATAACCAAAATGCACAGGGTGATGATATTTGGCCAGTAGCATGCTGAGATGAAGGGCTACCAAGTTTGTTCAAATGAATGACCTTCACCCATATTCAAGGTCACAGGGGTCAAATATGTTAAAAACTTTAAACAGCTTCTTCTGAATAACCAAAATGCCCAGGGTGATGATATTTAGTCAGTAGCATACTAGGATCAAGGGCTACCAAGTTTGTTTAAACGATGACCTTGAATCATATTCAAGGTCACAAGGAGCAAATAAGTTCAAAATCTTTAAACAACCTCTTCTGAATAACCATGGGTCCCAGGATGTTGATTCCTTCGCAAGTTTCATCCTGAGATGAAAGGTAAAAACAAATGTTCAACATAATAACTTTGTTTGACTTTCAATCCCAGGGGTGAAATGTTTTAAAAAAAAATAACAGGTTCTTTTGAATGAATTTTAATCATAAATACTGATATTTTGTCTGTAGCTTTATTTTAGATCACTTTTAATGTTACAAGTGTGAGATTTATACCAGGTGAGCATTGCAGGCCCATTGGGCCTCTTGTTTCAATAGCTTTGAATAAAGTGTTCTTTTATCTCAACATTTTTTCCAATTTTTAATCTAAAAATGAAATCGATTTATTTTTGATTTATTTTTTCAGGTGGCGTCCATGTTTTGGTTCAATTTCCATCAGAAGTTATGTATAGGGTATAATGTTTTGGCACTGATGGCTGAAGTAAACAGCTTCTTCCTGCACACCCGCAAGTTGCTACAGATGATCCAGGTAGATTATAACTCTGTATTTTATAAGTTGGTGTGCCTCTGTAACATTGTGACATTTTCCTTTTTTCGAGGTTACTCAAATTCACGAATATTAATTGGAATGTACATAGAGTATGACAGAGTCCCGAGCTTTTATTACAAATGTCTTACGATGTCAATGTCTTGTATGACTCTAATCAACATTTTCCTGTTCTGGAGGCTGCTGAAGAGTGATTTCCTCCGCAATCGGGTGAACAAATCAGTCAACCCCGGTGTCAAATCAATCAATTCAGAAAGTAACATGAATGGTGATCGCCACATGGCACACGTGAAAAAGGAATAATGCGGAAATCTTGAATAGATGATTGGAGATCAAAAGTGTTGAGCTGTGATGAAGTCTACAAATGAACAGAAGTTTGAAGGAATTTTGTTCATATACTTAATGTACGCTATGTAAATTAACTAACGTGTACTGAGTTCAGAGGAGAGGTATGATTGACATTAGGGAGAAGAGGAATAACGAACAAGGAGAAAGGCTGCCTATTTCATTTCATGTCCTGTAAGTTCCAGTAGTATATATTGTCCCAGTATTAAGGAAGTAAATTATAGACTTTCGGTCTCGGCATTCAAAAGTGTAAACACAGCGAATTGATGTAGACTACTAATGTAGTGTCAAGACTGCTAACCCAATGTATCAGTTTTTTTGTTTTTTTTACTAAAACTCTTCAAATAAAATGTTCTGTTCTGAAGTACAAAGGAGTCCATTAATGATAATCTCTATTCACATGATTCAATACAAAACTGCTATTATATCTGAATAGGAAAAGAAACCCATGCTATAATTGATATGTTTTTTTTAAGAAATTATTCAGATAATATTTTTAATATATTTATTTACCAGTAGCAAGTGCATGAAATACCTATCAAAATCAAGTTGTGTATACTGTATCATATCTTGTACAAAAGTAAAAAACAAACATTGCAGTGGGACTGGGATCCTTAATAATTTTTTTCCTGTCAACATGGTGCATATATATCTAGGATCCATATATTGAAAGAATATTTTCAAAACAAAAAATTATGCCTGTATATAAATTCGACCCAAACTTTTATGAATTATCTTTTAGAAAAAATGAAACAGAAAACAGATCAATAGAGCTATGCTCTTAAGGACTTCCCACCCTTTGTCATACACACGTTTTTCTTGTCGTTTGTTCGTGTCGTCATTTCCGTATTGCGTATCGGGCACCTCAATGCCGTAGTGTCAATTATAGAAATACTGGATAAACAATAATACATGTGTGCCGAGATGATTCATAATGTATGATCACACGTACTTCAAAAATATAGATTCCGATATCAAGAAATATACTGACTCACGCAAAGTTACTGACATGACATGAGACCAGACGACTTCAAGAAGGTCATATATATGAAGCACATGGAATGCAGACTGATAGCTAGGTTTTGTGTACCAACCTTACATGTGCATATTATGTGCTAACACCAATTCACAAGCTCGAGGTCGTTACGATTGTCGCTGTCGGGCGAGTTACACTGTCAATTACGCTCTGACGAGTAAACCGTTTTTATAAATGCAGTACACTGACTCTGTTGAAATATTGTTATGTGAAAGTATTAAGATCCCTGTGAAAATGCATGTGTAAGTGCACGTGAGAACGGCGTACTATGCGAAAGCCTCTGATTACAGCTGGTACGTATGTACCTGACATGTAAATATACCATTCGCTAGCAGGCTGTGGAATGATGGTTAAACCTTGTACATGATTGAGGGTAATTTAATAGATTGTCACTTTTAATATCATGATTTTAATTAATTTCCATCATTTTTGATCGTTTTTAAAAGAGATAAATGTCATTGTGTAAATTGTATCCCTATGCAAAAAGTTCCGATTTTTTTCAAGGAATACAACTCTGACCATGATCAAAGTGATTGTAAAATGTTAAATAAATTAATTAAAAAGCCATTGTGTATATTTTGTTCAATTTTCCACTATTTTTGTGTAAAAGTCTGTGTCCTGTTTGCTTTTGGCTTGTAGGTAATCACTTTTATCCATACAACTTCAATAAAATACACTTAATGTAACATGTTTTAAATATTTTGTGATAAATAAAATATTTGTAGGGTTAATTAGCAATGCTTCTTTACATATTTTATTGCTGTTATTGTTCCGAACAATACCACACACCAAAACAATGGAAAATATTAAAATTGACGAAAACTAAATTTTTTGGGTATTTTTTCCAGAAAAATCCCCAGTCGATCGAAATGCTTGGATTTTTCATAAAATCACCTCTACATAGTTGCATAACCATTATTTCAAAGAATTCTGCTGGTTAATTGCGAAAGGGTGGAGCCTCCTTAAATACCATTATCATGACTCATGATGCAAAATGGGAGATATTTGTCAATATAAAGAAAAATACGTGAAAACCAGGATATATTTTTCAGATGTTTCTTCAAAATGTTGAGAGTTTCAGAATACTTTAAATTTCCCTCAAACCAGCTCCCTACCTACATGTATGTAACTGACTGAGATAATTAGAAAATGTTGGATTATTGTTAAAAAAAACGTAGATACTTACGCGTAATGATCATACTTTTTCCCCCTGAAAATTCCTTTTCATATATATATATACTCATTAGTACTACCCATGATATCACAGGTTCTATGGTAGTGCGGTACCAGTGTTTGTGCAGGCGCTGCGACACCTTTCAGGTTGGTTAGGTTGGTTTGTGTAAATGTTTTATGAACGTTAACTACCATGATACCATAGAACTCCAGGCTCTAGGTATATGCTAACTACATGTATATATATAGCAACCAGTAGGGAAACCAAACTTATTGCCAGTGCCAAGCGTAAAAATCTAAATTTTCTGATGAGTGACCCCCATGTTGTGCAACCATAAAGTTGAAATGTCTTCTTACATCAAATCACTGCTATTTTGCATTTACATACTCGTACTAACAACTCTGTTTACGCTCTTGCATTAGATTTAGCAATTGTCTTTTTAAATAATAGACATACCCTGGTATGCTTCATACTTTTTTATTAAGAAATAAATTTTGAGTTGTATCAAGTTTGATCAAAACCAACCTTTTATCATTTTATTAAAGCTTGCCTTCCTACCTACCAACTGACTTAATATGTATAGGTGCCCACCTGCCAGCTGTCTATACTTGAATGATACTTTCACAGCTTTTGTCAGCTGCAGAGATATGCTTGTTTGGCCTAAATTATTGGACTTTGCATCAGAAGTCGATTCATCTTACGTGAGGATAAGTAACCTTTTTGATAGGAGTACTTTTATAGCTAGTTCTGTGATTACAAGATGGATACTTCTGTCACTGTTAATGATGTTTCTAGACATTTTATTCCCAAACCTTTTTTTTTACGAAAATGTTGAAGAAATATGATGTCGATGGCTTGATCAGTTTTTCGAAAACTGATGTATGTTATGGTTGATACGGATCATTATTGTGAATTGATAAATTAAAACAAATACATAGGTAATGAATTTTCCAATCTTGAAGAAAATGAATGCCTTTTTTTCATTATTTAAGTACATGACAAATAAATGTGTTGGACAGAATTTTTTTTATTATTAAGGACCTTAGAATGTCTCTGTTAGGATTAAAATCACTCGCATATTAATGTCGGAAGTATAAAGGATTAAAATCACTCGCATATAAAGTGAACAAGACAAATTGAGAGAGAGCTAAAAAGCAAGTAAAATTGTTAACATGGTTGCAAATTCAAAATGTTGTTATTTGTATGCAATATTTGATAACTGTTTTAACGTTTGTATTTTCTTTTTCTATTTTTTTTGTGTAAGATTTACAGTTACTTGTAGGTTAATTTTTTAGTTTATATATATATATATATATATATGTGTTCTATTTATGAAAAAGCAGAGGTAATGCTATCCTCATTTTATGTATGTAAGAGAATTATTTTGTACAAACTTAGGAGTACATTGTATATTGCTATTGCTGTATATAGGTGTGTTACAACTTTTGTTGTTAATAATCCCTTGTTGACGCTATTTTTTTGTTATTTGCGATACAACCAGTTTTCATGAAATAATAATATTTTCATATTAATTCGAACAAGTAAACACCAACCATATTTTTTCGTTCAAATTAAAAACATTTTCTGTACCTGTCTTTAAAAAATCTCCTCATTCTTAATAAAGACTTCATACCAGTAAATTGAAGGAAATGTAAAAATTCTAGAACACATACAATTTTTGTGCAGTCGTTATCCTATTTTTTAAAAGCATATAATGCTTTTCGGTAGGTCATATATGATATCAGTTGTCATTATTTCTGATTGAATATTTTCTGACATGTGAGCAAAGTTTTCCAGTGTTAACAATTTACAGCAATAAATGTAAAATTGACAAGTTATCTCCCTTTCCGTGTAACTTTTACTATAAAAAAAAACTAAGAAAATTGTGTCCCTAGTAATTTGTTTCTTTACTGCAACAGATATAAATTACATTGTACATGAACTATTGCAAAAGTTGATTTTTTTTCAGGGTGAAACTGTTCTTTTTTTCTTAATGAGTCAATTAGTGCGAAAAATTAGTGCGAAAATATTCACAAACGATTATTTATACATGATATAGACAAATAGATAAAGAGGTTGTAAGGGTCACATCATGAACATTTTCTCTTTTTACAGTACATATTTCAAGTAACAGTTAAAGTAGGGTTATCAAGGGAAATTGACAACAGGTCTATATATTATATACAATGTATGTTAATTTCAATGTGTGCTATAACTAACAAATCACTTTCAGTTTGTATATTAAGTTACCTGTTACTTCCCGCTTCATAATATCACATTTTATTCCTAAGTATGTGGGCTATATATAGAATCCATATTTTTGTGACGTGCATACAAATTTAACTGCTTATGATGAATAAATCTCTCTCGGTTCCCCATAGTATTACAATGTAGATAATTTTGCATCTAGGGTACTTTTTAATCACAAGCAAATTATTCTGAATCAAATGTACAAACAGCATTTTTTTATTGTCATGTATTCATTTCTTGCATTTTCATGGAGAAAATGTGAACCAATCAAATTTAGCCTTGTCAAACAACTAACCAACCAAATTCAGCCTTATGATTGATTAATTATTTTTGGGTGGAAATATGGTGTAAACCAATAAAATTGGGCCTTACTGATCAATTTACCAATCAGAAATATCCTGAGTCTATTGTTCCAGTCCTTTTATGTGTTTTGATCCCCTTCAATATTTAATAAAATATTGACAAATGAATTTAATAAATTTTTACTTAAATGTGTCTGTCATTAGAATAAAGAAGCCTTAATTAAAGTCATTAAACCTTGTCAATTTCACTAAATCAATCTTATTTAAATATTTTTGGTCATTGTTAGGCCATTTGAAGATTAATTACTTTTTTGAATATTTATGTCTTACATTTAATGTTAATTATATATAAGAGTTAGTGTTATTTACTGGAAAAATATATGCATATTTTCAAAAACTTGATGAAAAGGATTGCTTCAGATTATATGAGTTTTATAGATATTTATTCTTTTTTATTTTCTGTTTGCATACAAAATATTTCAGCATTGAGTGCTGAGCTTGTTCAGAGTCTTAAGAAGGTTTTCTTCCTATCTGTATACACATGAGAGCAACAACCTATTTTACAAGCTTCATGTCGACCCAGAGCTGTGTCATAATTTTCTGTC